CGGTCACTTCGTTGTCCACTGAAAAGTAAAGCAAGATTGGCGCAGACCAAGGCATGGTCAGAGTCCAGATAGGTACTCTAAAAGGAGCGGCAGTCTTGTACACAACCACGCAAGCGGTAGCTGATCGCGATGTGGTCAATCTGAGTTTAGGCTTGAGATGCAGAGGGAGGACGCCAGGTGGCACATCGGCGATGACTGTGCCGAAAGTTAGTGCTAGCCAGAAACAGGTTGTGGTCTGTGCAAAGTTGCAGTAGACGGTCCCCATTATCTGACCTGCGACCAACGAGTCCCCATCGGCCACCTATACGACTCTCTTCTGTGCCTAGACGCCCGACCTGAGCATTCAAGTCTCCGGCTAGTACTACAATATCTGTCGAACGCACTTTCTGGAGAAGAACAGATAACTGGTGGTAAAATTGATCCCTGATTGCATCCGGGCTGCAATCTGTCGAAGCATAGGCGGAGATGACGAAAAGACATCGTTTCTCACGCCGATTTCTTCTCACTTTGATGGAACTTTCTAATCTAACAGCACATAACCGACTGTTAATGGGGATCTAATCGACTAGTGCTGCCTCAGCTCTAGAGCTTAGTGCGACACCAACGCCAGCAAGACCAGACGAAGATGCCACAGGGTCCCTGGATAAGCGCACGTAAAACAAGCTTTTCGAAGCGACAGATGGAGACCGAATTTGTAGTACGTCGCCAGAGTCTTGAATACGGGTCTCCGATAGACAGCAAACATCGATATTAAGACTTTCTAAAGACATAGCCAGCCCTATTTATTGTCCGACCTGCACTAGTGTGCGAACGTTGAAGGCAGCCAGATTGAATGGTGCTCGTGGTTTCAGAAAGACTACTTCAGTATTCGGTGTTAGCATAAAATTTTCAACCAGGCAGTGACTCGAGAACGTTTAGACAGGACCGAATTTCCACCATGAGCGAGCTGCTGTATAAGTCAAAAAATAAGGATACATAATGTGGGAATAAAAGAGAGTGAGCAAATGACGTAGTAAATAATAATAATGATAATAATAACGATAATAACAGTAATAATAATAATGTGAATCATTTGGTTGTTATTCGAAGCAAGAAGAATATTTTTCATAAATAGACAGTTCATCATTTTTAGTATATGAGCTGTAATACTGCCCTGGTGCCCAGACCGAAACAGGTGGTTTTCTTAGGGGGCCACACCCTGAGCCTTTGACTTAAAGGTGTGACCTACATGGCAGTGGAGCATCGTGAGGAGATGCAGTCCCATGGTAGCCAGTGACCAACAAGTGTTTCGTACGCCATTTGTTCCCTCAGGATACTGAAGCCCATGTGCACCATTGGTTTGAGACCTGGTTAAAGCGCTGGACATTCGCTTTTCTTCATCTCATTTTCGCAAACAACAACCCTGCCACGAGAAGGCAGTGAGTAGGACTTCCCTGGCAGAGGCCATACACATGTGGCATTTCGAGGGGGAATGTGGGACAACCCCACTCTCAGCCAAACCAGGGCATTTGGGGTCATCCATATTATCCAACCTCAACAAGGGCACCTGCACGTTTTTGATCAAATTACTTAAATAAGTTATGTTTGACAGTCATATATATTTCTGTACTTCAGTGAGGCTTTCGACTGTGTCTCGCACAACGTTCTTCTTCTTGGACTTTCTCCGTTCGCTATATGGAATCTTCTTTAATCCTAGTTTAAATCCTTTTTTAATATAACGTAGCCAAATTGTTCGCTTTGGATCTTATTCATCTACGCCTATGAATATTACCGATGAGATTATATCAGGAGGTGTGATTGGTCCATTACTATTTACCCTTTTCATCAATCATGTATGCTCTTAGACTCATTTCGGTATTAGTACACTTGACTTTGCTAACCCTTCCAAGACAGTCGATGTTTCTTTTTTGTTGATTAATTCTCGCCTCTTACCAATGAAAGCTGTATTTCAGCGGTAACACTAGAGGTTGTAAATCAGTTTTACGAATGGAATGTGTCGCGGAAGGTGTCTGAATTTTCACGAAAGTAGATTTACTTACAATGGTAGTAGATCTAATTTAAATCTGGCTATAAACAAATATACACTGAAACATCTTAGCACTGTTGATGACGCAGGTTTGAGGTATAGCAACAGTTTGTACTTTGCTGAGCACATCGAATGTCAAGTATTCAAAGCAAGAAAGCCCAATGGATTTAACTCGTGGCTGTGACTCTGAATTGGTTCCATATCCTACCGAGAAATCCTGTTGCAAGTAAGAATTGATAATCACGCCAAATATTAGTTCACTTTTGACTTTAAGAATGTCATAACAATAAAAACGAGTTATAGTAATAACCACGCACAAAACCAGTTAGTTTTGAACACAGAGTTTTCCTTAATAAATTTTAAAGCTACACATAATCCTAAACCTTCAGCTTCTTTTTTAATCATATTCACTCAGATAGTTATTCGTCCATTCATCGCAATCTTGTGGCTTGTTTTCTTTGACCCGATGAAATATTTTTGCTTAGAAGTCGACCTTATAAAAGAAAATGGGTCTACGTATTCATACCCTGATCGTTCGTCCGCAAATGACTAGAATTAACTAGTCATAAACACTGTCTGTTCTGCTTCTCACCATTTCCTTCTCGCTTTTTCAGTACTCTATTGATGTACCACCGAAAACATTGTAGAACGTATGGCTTTGTTTCGGTTCGTCACTTATACCCCCAGGATTTATCTGGAACGATCACCTGGAAGCGCAAACTAATACGTTCGCAACCCAGATATTTTAGAAAAGGTTTATCATCTCGTTCTACTTTACAGAAGCAACAGTTTTCAAAAGTTTAGACGAATGGATGTATGAATGGGCTGTCCAGTTCTTCATGAACAGGCACCACAAAACAATTCAGGTTAATTGAAGACGTGTGTAATGGATCTGTATCAAAAATATAAGTGGGATTTTACAAATGAAGAGGAAAAAGACAGCAATTAACAATAGTAAAAGAAGAGCAAAGAAAGCCATGGCAATGATCAAATACATAGTGCTAATCAGTAGAGTGAAAATGGGCATTAAAACTGACATGAGAAAATGCGTGAAAAGCCTAGGAACTACAGCAGAAACAGGTGCAAGAGAAGGGAATACGAGACAAGTACATGATACAACAAAAAACAGGCAGGAAAAAATTGAAGATCCAATGTCGAAAACTTACAGAGCTATTTATTTTGGGGATTTATTTACCGCTACAACATAGCAAACAAGAGCGACCAGTTAAGAATAATGACGAGACAAGCCCTTACTTGAAAAACAAAGTAGGAGATGGGAAGACCAAGGAACAGACTGAGTCTGAAATTGGAGACGGACTTCAGAATAATGAATAAGAATTGGAAAAACTGAGTCTTAGAATCTAAGACAGAGTTGGTTGTAGAATCCTGTTGAGCAATCTATTCTCTCACAGGAGATAACAGGAGTATGTAACTAACTGAGTAAATAGGTAATTAAATTCTACAAAAAATGTTAATTCCATGACATCTGACGACATATTCGAAGGAAGTCTGTGAGATGTGATTTCACAGGTTTTTCACTAATCTATTTGGAAAGTATAGAATCAAAGAAATCACGCGACGAACGAATCATTCTAATGTTCTCAGTTATTTTGTACACCTTCGTGGATTTACCCGAATTAATTCCCAAACTGTATAATGTTCATTTAAGTATTTTCTCAAGCTTTCTTTCAAACATGTTTTCCTTCTATCTGTGCTCCTCCGTATATCTTATTCGTCATCTGTTTTTTTCCATTTATTCGCTAAGGTTAACAATTCGGCTCAAGTCATTTCCTTTTGGTTGTTTCTATTTTAAAATAGCCGAAATAGGGACAGGGAAATCTGAATTCATTATATTTCATGGTTTCGCTTCAGCTGCATACGAACTTATTGTTAGTGATTAAATTCACCTGTTATTTTATAACGTTTTTTACGCGATCTTCACTAAACTAATTGTTATTTTATCTACGTCGAATTATGTTTCCATTCATTGATGTTTTCACCAACTCGATTTTCAAAACTTGTTTAGATTCCTCAGACCGTCTCAAATCATTGAGTAACTCATCTCATTAGTTCCCAGACTCCATAGAATAACCACATCACAACCTCGGTGTTTTTGAGATTTATCTCCAAATAATTTCGCATATACTCATTCGTACATGAATATAATTATTGCCGATAGTTGTTCTAATTCCTGTTCTTTCCGTCAGCAATGTCAATTACTTCATATTATGCTCGAATACTATACTTTAATATGTATACGGTTGTAAGCAGCTGAAGCGAGACCATGAAATACAGTAAATTCATTTTATTTCCCTTCAAATGTTGTTTTGACTTTTTTCAAATTCATAATGAGAAACAGATGTACGAAATTTTTGACAAACGGTTCCATGATTATTTGCTTAAAAAATATTATTTCAACCTAAATTCGTCTTCGACTTTTTTAATTACGCAGTTGTCGGAATCGGGTCAACCGAGGTATTGTATATTAATTCATATATTAAAACTGTATTACAGCAGAGCCAGCAAAGTGTTCAAGAATTACTGTTATCTAATACTAAAATATACAGTAACTTGTTTGCTCATTAGCAAGCATATTGTTATAAACTAATGGCACAGATAATTTTAGTCACTTAGCTGGTGCCTATGAAACTCTATTGTAAAGTCATAGGTTAACCTGTAAATATTCAGTCATATTCATTAATATTTACTGTGTATATGTTATGTATAGCATAAATAATATAAAGCTTATATGATCAGAGTAAACATCACTGATAAATGAATATTATTGTTCCAATAGATGTCTCTTAATCGTATTATATGCATCATTTTACATGTTTGTCAGTATTTCATTCTCTGACCACTAGTAAATTGATATCATTCAACCTAATATTTTCATAGTTTTTTAATCGAAAGTTTGGTATTTTCTTTGTATGAGTAGTAGACAAAAAGAAGTAAAAAAAAAAGTAATATTACATAGAATCATCAATGATGTTTTATTTGAGATTCATGAAAATATTGTTGATATAAAAAAGCTGATTAGTAGAAGAATCTAATGAACAAAATGAAAAATGATAAGTTGTTTTTCTATGTTTGTATCAGTTTACAAAGAATTTATAATTCACTTTAACTATCATATATTTTATTATTATAGAAATGTAACTAACATGTTATTTCTGTCAAGATGTTTACATTGTTACCACTTTTCAAAAGCATTATACATCTTAAGCTCGATAATTTCATTACAATGTATATCCGTTCCCGTTCAATATGTTGGTATAATTATTTACACCATTGTTAATCATTGTGTAACTAACATAATCTTATGTTTTATTAAAGAATATTTATTATCAGATCATGAGTTTTTTCTTATAAAAAAAAATAGAAACCAAAAAAAATATTTCCATTTTACTGATGTCACTATTACTGTAACTTTATTATTGATTAAATTCTATGAAATATTTTACAAAAATAAATAATAATCTACATTCTTATTGTTCACTATTATTATTTAAACATGGATAGAATATAAAATTTACACCATAACAACACAATTATCTCTCATAATATACACTTTATTTCTATTATCTTATCTATATAATATTTAGATGTATGATATAAAGTTTTTATTGAATATTTATTATTAATCGAATCTCATATATATACACAATCAATCTCTTCAGGAGTCCATACAATCAGTAGATAAACATAGAAAATGAATTGATCAGTTAATTGAATGTATATAAAAAGCAAACAAGCAACCAAGCAAACAAACACAACTATTTGATAATGGTTTAAAAATGATTCATAAATAACTTGATTATTGATTTTTTTTTAATATTTATGAGTAAATATGAAAATAAATAATTCATGTTTCTTCTTTTGTCAAAATTTGTACTTCAATATTTTATTGATAGTTATAAAGTTATTCTCTCTTTTTTTCTCTCTCTCTCTCTCTTACCCTCCTCTTTTACTGTCGACTTATATAAACACACAAATTCAACTCAAATAAAAGAAACAAAACAAAAACAACCAAATTTTTGTTAAAATCCGATTAGTACATCTCTTTGAGAAATGTATTCACATTTCTAATGTATATTATATGGTATTTCTGTATAGATAGTAGTATATGTCATTACAGAAATAATTTGACATTTACCATTATAACATAAGGTATTCATTGTATATATATATATATATATATATATATATATATATATATATATATATATATATATATATATATATATATATATATATATATATATATATATACGTTTTATTGTGTTATAACATGACCGCATATAATACATATTGACTCTTGAATGATTTATTATTATTTAAATGATGATTTGGAATTTAAGAATAGATACTTTATTAAAATGACAGTTAATGAACAATAAAGACAAATCATACTCATATCAATGAATATATATGTCAATTTAATAAAATTATTTTTAAAAAAAAATATTCAATATTATCATTATAGAAATTATAATAAACAAACAAATGATATACAATACAAAATCAATAACCAACCTTATTTTTTTTCTCAAAACGAAAGTTTAGAAACAATCTGGGAATGTGTCACTAAAAAAGTGATAAAAATGTAAACAGGTAATAATTGAACTGAAACTATGTTCAATATTGTTACTATAGTAACAATAATAATAATTATTATTATTATTGTTATTATTATTATTATTATAGGTACTCAGGTACACATACAGACAGGAGAGCATATTTTAAAAAAAAGTAGCTAATAAAAAGCTAAATAATTATGAAAGAGACGAAATGTTAATCGAATATAATTTCAATGTTTAATAAGGATATGTAAGTTAGTGTGATTGATGAATGTCATTGAATAGTTTGTATATTTGGAATTGTGTTCCTTACATAAACTGAATATATTTTTTTATTTTTCAAATATGTATATATAGTAAATAAAAGATAAATATAGATTAATTGATAGGAATTCATAAGCTATAATATCCTATACTATAAACTTTCGAAAATGCTATCATAGCAATACGATGAAAAAAAAACCTCATAAAGTTTATAGTTTATGTGATTTATTTGAAAAAGATTTTATGAAATATGTTGAGAAATCTCTGAGTAAGAAAAAAAAAAAGAGAAACGTTATTTGCCTAATGAATTTTATCAGAGGTCTTTTTGTTTAAATAAACTCTCATGATATGTTATGATGATAGTGATATGCGTTTATAGGACTATAATAAAAATAAAGAAAAGCTACCTGAATTAAAAATACAAATAAAATGAAAGAAAAACTTATTCATAGTTATAAATAGTAAATGTAATGATTGAAATGTTTAACGGTATGGTTTAACATAATTCGATGGAAGCATTCCAAATTTTCCAGTTCGTTGAACAGTACCATACATCCAACCTTCAGTAATAGGTGCACCATTCACTATAATATCACCAGATTTGAATGTCACTTCATCGTCTTCTCTAGCTTCGTAACCATACTGTGCTACAAAAGTCTAGAAAACAACAATAATATGCTTTAATTATACTGCTCATTCATTTATTGTTCGATTCTATAATGAAATTCACATCAATAATATCGTAGTATATGCATCATAAATAGATATAAATATATATGGTAATATAATATACCCTTGAGGGCCAGGGTAATTTTACATTGGTTTTCAGGAGAACCAGACACCATCCGGACTTTCACGTAAAAACCCAAACAGTACAGCTCAACCCCGTTTAGCAGGGGAACCAGACACCGTATAGGCTTTAACGCTACAATCTGAATAGTACAGCCCAATCCTGTAGCGCAACCACACAGGTATCAAGAACCCTGGTGGACCAAAGCTGAACATGAATTTGTAATTTTAGAAAGTACAGGGTACGATACATGTCTGTTAAGTTGTAGCTTATCAGCCTCAACATGTTCAAGATGTGTGCACTATGTTGCACTTTCCCTTTCTTTTAGTTATTGAATAATGTATACAGTAGAGTAATTTTCATTGTGAATTTCATTTCAAGCTCTAATTCTCACTTTGACTATTTTTTTATCCGACAGCAGCGTGTTTAAAAAAATATATATGTTGGTAGTTTTTCATTATTGAAATGAATTGTTCAATGAAAATTACACTCTTAACTGCAGTACTAAAGGAACGTAAAATACTTGAAAATACTAGGTATTACACTTTTATTGAACACTAAACAGGATACTTAACCTCAGCCGTGTAAAAACATTCAGTCTTGTTCCAGGATATTGATAATGAAAACTTACTGTGACCGCAAAAATCATGACTTCCATGTTTGGTTATGGTAACGTTAATATGTGTATAACTGAATTTCAATTTTAATATCAACTAACTAATGTTAGGATACAGATTGTCATTTAATATTAGTGATGATATTAGCACAATGAGAAGTGTAGTAAATTAGTATACATATACGTTCACTTGTTTATAAAAATATGAGATTGCATAAGTAATTTAGAAGTTTATACACTTGGGTTTTAACCATAAGTAGAGATTATTAGAAAGAATGATCGACAGTTTATTTCGGTCAATAATGAATTTCTGAAAACAACAGGATACTGTTAGCTTTCTAATGAGTATGTGTGTCAGTTGTAAGCTGATAGCAATACATTTATAATGGAATTATTTAGTTAAAATCAAAATATCAATGAAAGTCATAATTATAATATAAATAACTAAAATATTCTAACATACCCCACCAAATCCTGAATTTTGGTGTGTATGACCATGAAAGCTATCATGAAAAAATAAAAAAGGATTACATTTTTAATAATACTTAAATATTCTTAATCATTGTGAAGCAGAATATGATGCAATAAAATTTGTTCACATAGATAAATAAACTAAAACAGCCTAGGTAACAATTGATGGGTAAATTATGATGATGGTATGAAGTCATTAATGGTTAAAGGCGATTGAGAGAAAACCCTAAGTTCATGATAATTGGCACTGGTTAGTAAGGAGTAAATGTAACCACTAAATAACTTATTCATATGAGGGTATTCAAATACGTCACCCAATGTAACATTTAAACATGGGATGATTCAGCTAATCCATTTGACCCACTGATTACCATTATACGACATACTATTCCTAATTTACTCATGAATTAATAGTTATAGTCTCTCTCACACACACAGCCATTTTTGATTTTATATTGTATAATTTTTATTTTCTATTTTGTGGTATGATGCGTTGTGATTTGCTTGTATATAAACTACGAATTTCCCACATACATACAGTGGAGGTTGATATTGATGTTATAGGCTGAACGAGCTGGGATAGGCCGGAAAAACCAATAAGGACTCAGAGTTGACTCCAAGCAGCTCGAACTGGTCAACACGTCATTATTTTGATACAGTGGCAAGGTCATAAGTCTGTGTTTTAATTGGCGATTAAGTCAGGTGACAATTAACAGGGCAAGAGTCATAACAAAAACAATTGACTTACTTTAGGTTAACCGTCGAGCCTCTAGGTATATTAATAGTTTCTGTAGAACCTACATTGCCACCAGCGGTGTTATTGTTATTTCCAGGAGGAAGACCTGAAGAAACAATTAGTTGTGTAGAAAGAAAGGAAATCTTGTTCTCATTTGTAGTTTATAAAATTATATCAGAAATAAACTAAGATTGAACGCTAATTTAATGGTTAGCAACAAATTATATATATAGTATACTAACTATTGGTACTAGAGAGCTTTTAAACTAGTGAGACCATGAAACTTACAATGTTCAAGATAACAAAAATTGGAGCTTGTAAATATTTAGCATTTAACATGAGTTAAACGCGATTTCAGTTATGTTTATGTAGAAAAGCATCTACTTATTTCTATGGAATAGATAATATTTAACTAGCGGTGGAATATAGGACGCGCATTCCGTTCTATTCCAGATTTGTTGGTTTTATTTTATTTTCAGATAAATATAATAAATTTTCTGTAATAATTTATTTTATTGGAATAGTTGACACTCTAGGTACATTTCAAGTTAATTAGTAGTATGCACAAGTCATTAAATATTAAGAATAATGAAGTAAATTGAATCCAGAACTCCTAAAGTATTGTAAAAAGGTATACTTTCTTGTGAAAACAAATTTTTTTGCCGAATAATAACTGAGGTGAAGTTAAGCAGTTCATAAAGTCGGTCAAGTAATATTAATGATGATATCTCATTAATTTAGTTATAACTTTTGAGATTGTACAAATCAGTTACAATCTCTGTATATCGAAAATTTACCCTGTTATCACCCATTTGTTAGTTGAAATTATTGAAAAACTAAGAATCATTTGCTAAAATATTAGGCCAAAAGGCAATTAATTTGTAACGTACTCGATACATCATTGGCAAAAGCTTGCTTAACAATAATGTTTTCTATAGGTATCATTACCATGGTTTGACTTGATAATTTTGAATAAATTGAGCATTAGGTAGAATATCTACTTCTTCAGAAAATAAATAACCTGAAGTGGCTTGCACTGAGTCACGAAACTTCAGAAAATCTAATTTTCCTACTTATTGGAATATTGAAAATATATTATTTTATTTACTATGTTCATTGTAAGTTAAATCACAAAATGATCTGAGTTAGACCATCATAGAAAACTAGGAAGCACTGAACGGTCATTTAGTCGTAGCACGGGATTGCTGAGCAGTGCTCATTCATCTAGCTACGATCAATTCATGACTTACACTATAATATTCCCTAATCTATACAAATCCCTCAATACTAATTAAAATGTTTCAAAAAATGAATTTTTAATACAGTTTAAATAACATCTATGAATCTAAAAGTTTTTAAACGACTTCATAATGGTTTTAAATAATTGAAGAAGATTATTCAATTAAATTAAGAGTCATAATATCTGACATAACTAAGTCTTCATCATTTTATTCCGTCACAATCGTTCTTCTCAGTTATAGGAAAAACCTATAGATGCTTTGTGTTTATTATTATCAGTTGACCTTTCCCAGTCTCTTACGCATGCATATACTAGCTTAATAAGTGAATAAAATGTAGTAACACATGGCATTTGGTGCCTGAATAGTTCTATCAGAGAGTGAAGCTACACAACTGTTGTTATAAGAAGACTGGGTTGTAATCTTGTTCTCCTGAAGAGAGAAATAACGATAAATGACCTTCTATCGGGGCATATTTATTATATAAATGCTAGTGAAGAGGATCATTTAATAATTAAAACGCTTAGCTCTCAATCTCAAGTAAAAACCCTACTCCATCTATTTCAATATCGACAGACAATCATTATAACGTCGTCACACAAATCGTACAATGTAAAATTAAGTAAATAAAAGTTTTGTTTGATGAGCTACACTGGGAAATATAATCTATGGTATTAAAAATATAACCTAATTTTCTTATTATTAACGTTAATTGTAATTACCGAAAAAACAAAATATAAATGATATGCATAGTTTCAATATAAATATTGATGAATCTAAGTAAGATGACACAAAAGAATTGGAATGAAGATTGTGAAAGAAATAAAGCAGTTTTGAATGAAATCTTTTAAAATGTTCATCAGGTTTGGAAATCATATTTCAATGTTAAATTACAGTGTTTTATCAGTATTTAAAAAACCCACTGATAGATTACGATCAGATTGTGATAATTTACTGACGAATGTTTTCATTTTAATAATGTCACTTAGTATCTCTGTCCATTTATATTTACTATGATTCAAAATACCTCAACATATAATTAATATTTTTAGGTATCGTATCATTATTAAAGTGATGTCAATATGTTCACCAGGTGCTAAGCAAACATCACGTAATCTGAGAAGGGATATTGAATAATGGTAAGGCGAAAATCGATTATATGTAAGAAGTATGAAAGAAGATCATTTAATTGATGCGCATTTTAAAATATTGAGGTAAAAATGAATTTAAGGTAATAGATTGTAAAAGTAGAAAGGTGATTTTTAGAACTAATGTGAAATGAAGGAAAAAACAAGTGATTTATGAATGTTCAAATCACGTAGGGAAAGATGTATTGTTAAAGCTTCTGCTGTGAGCATGCTCTTGAGTTAAATTCAGCTAACCTTGAAAATAGTATTTATGAAGGTAGGTTGTTGGTTAATTAGATATTTGAGAACAGAACTACTGATTGTTTCACATTCATCTGTCAATAATTATTCAGATTTGTGGTCAGTGTTGCTTATTGGAGATCAACATTTGTTTGAATATATAATTATAACTAAAACTAAACGACCTTGTTAGATTAGCTTAAGAAAACCTTTCATGACTTGAATCAAAGTCTATCAACATACCATCATTATCAGTATGATTACATAGTGGTGTAAAATTTTCAAAATCAATATTCTTTAGAATAGTTTGATTATTTCTTTGTCTAGTATAATATTGACACTTCCGAAATCAAACAAATAAACGTTCAGTATACTATACTGTACTATACTATACTATACATTAAAATCAGATTCCAGTCACACAATACACTTGTCAATCTATATATTACGTTTTTCTTGTCATATTAATAACATATGAAAATACCTTTATAGTTAGCTCAAAATACATTTCATAAGTATTTTGGAAATATGAGGTTTTTGTAACATAAATGGATTGTTATTTTCTGTGCATGAAATAGGTAATGTGAGAAAAATTGCGAATTTGTTTCCTTAAAAAAACTATTTTTGCACTACCCCCCATGGTGACACTGATTACGCTGAATTTCATTTTAAAAATATTTAACAAAGAAACAATCAATAATATTAGGGGGTTAATAAACACTTTCCAAAAAAATATTTAGAGTACTGAATATGCTTATATGCTACTTATATTATTAAACAGTATGAAAAAAACAACATGATCTTATCTTCTGGCTAAAGTGAACAAATTTAATGTATATAAATCACTTCCTGGTTTTCAGTGGTTATTTAATGAAGAATAGTCGACTATATAAAACTAAAATATTCTAAAATATTTATTCTAGAATAAAAACAATCCCATATTGCAACCGAAGTTTTTAAAACGAATATATATAGGGCTAGATATCATATTCCATATTTAACTATTCCTGCGACCTTAGCTTATCGTTTCATGTAAAAAGTGGTCAAAAACACTAAGTTATAATGATTAGCCAGTTCGAGATTAAACCTTGATAAAATAAATACGACCATCATCAATAGTTATGTGTATCCACAACCACGTAACTAAGTTGATAATCGAATTCAAATCCATGTCACCTAGTGTCATATTCAGGGACGACATCACTCATTTATGTGGATAACAATTTACCATTTGTTATACTGAGATATCCACATAAATTAATCACTGAGAAGGAAAATGATTGTATTGGTCTACTCTTGACTACTGGTTAACTCTTTTGATAGATATTACTGTCTATGTAATCTAATAGTGTAATAAATTTCAGTTTTTGAATGATCTAACGCTGTTCTGTTAGGAAGAAGACCCCATTATGTTAGAAGTAAGTGATGAGAGTCGCAATTGTAAGCATTAAATCTTTCTGATTACGGTTTGGAATAACTTGAAATTACGATGATCTAGTTAAACTAAAGATAATTTGATTTGATTGGTTAGAAGTTGTTATTTTATTCAAATAAATTCGTTATTGTTATATTATGAAAGATATTAGGCAACTAACAACGAAGAGTCAATGTTTAGAATGAGAAATTATTGCTATTAAAGATTAGATGATGATCAACTCCATATTGTGAAATGAATAACTTCAAAGGTGTTGATCAATAGTCTGAAAATATCATACTCTTCATGAGAGACTTGAAGGCATTAGGTTCTGTTTTACTTGAAGTTGTGTGTGCATACTCCTATTAAGTAGCCGACTCAAACAAAACAACTTTTCTGCGATTTGTGGTTATTGTTGGCTTTTAACAGAATATTTATTTGATAGAGTAAACAATAACACTGCCAAAGGTTTTTTCGATTTTAACATTTTACATTTTAGTAGTCATGATTGAACAATGTAACGGATCCCAACGGAGCTTTCAGCTTAGAAAACATATCACTCGAAGCATGCATTTTTCTCAAACAGTCCAATTCAAATAAAGTACCCACAGGATCTCTGAAAGCCAATTTCTAGAGAAGCTATAGTTATTTTAAGTTAATCGGCTGAATGATCTAGAATAATACACCATTTTAACACAAATTTACTAGATATTCGTCAATAAATTAGTGGTTTTACAAGTCAAACATGCCATTTGAGTGATATATCAAAATTTGAAATAAAATCTCACTATATATACCGTTTTTTATGCCTTACCTGTAGGAGTAATAATAACTGAATGACAAGAACCAGAACGACTTAGTCCATTATGATTTGCCGGTGGTGTATGCCCTTGATCATAATGATGATGATGATTGATTGGATCGATTTTAAGATGACATCCACCGCTATTCGATAGTGGTCTAGAATTAATGCCTAGAAAAGATGTCATTTTATAAATACATGTATAGATATATTTCAATAATAAAGTGTAAAAATAAGGGAAACCAAATTTAAGTATTTTGATGTGTATTGGGTTATTAGAAGTTATTACAGTAAGGTTTTCTTGACACAAACGATATCGCTTCTTAAATCACTAACTAATCTTGTCCTTTTTGATTCCTACTGACTGTCAAGTAAGAATGGTGTTCACAGTTGTAAACATTTAATTTTTCAGATTACAGTTTTGATATTAAGACACACAAAGAATTAATAAATGTTTTTTGGTTGAGATCATGAATCAATTGATGTTAGACCACCGTTGGAAACCTGGAAGCACTGGACGGCCGTTTCGTCCTAGTATGGGACTCCTCAGCAGTGCGCATCCACGATCCCGCGAGCGGGATTCGAACCCAGGACCTACTGGCTTCGCGCCTGAGCACTTAACCATTAGACCACTGAGCCGGCATCCAATGGTGTTAGTGTCTAACATCAACCAATCCACGAAGTTGCGCGACCAACTTCCATTGTACTGAGGTAGATACCTGTCTCTACCCGACACGGATCAGCTCCACTGGTCACGACTTCTCACTAGAACTCCGAGAATTCCCTCACGAAGCTAGTCACTAGTGAGCACATGTTAATTATCAGTATGGGGGTTGTGGAGATTGTTGATTGATTCATGATCTCAACCAAAGACTTAACAATCTCCACAACCCCCATACTGATAAATGTTTTTTATCTACCTCATCATCTGTACAAGATAATTTCTATTAGATTACACTTTCTTAAGACGGAGTAAATAAACTTGCAAAACAGTTGTACAGAATATACTTTAATCAGTCTACACATGTAATAGTCACTATAACAGTGACTGATATATCGTAATAATCTAAATAACTTCAAAAGCATTGTATGAGATGATTATTACAATCAAAATGTTTCTATTCTTGAACTTCTCTTTTGAATATGTATAATATTTTCGATATTTAATGTTTAATACAAGTCTATGCTACTATAAACAGTCATTATAATAAACAATAATGAAAATAATCGTTATGATGATAAAGATCACATGCAAAAAAACTATGTTAACTTGTATCCATCAAACTGTACCTGACGAATTTGAAAAAGTATGTGGTGAAGTGCATTGATTGCTTAATCCAAATCGAGTAGGTGGTGGTGTATAACTATTGTAGTATGAAGCTATAATTAGCAAAATTAAAGAAATAAGATAATTCATATTGAATAACTGGTTTTTGTGAGTGTAATTCCTACAATAGTGATGTATATGTAGTTAATGTATTACTGATTCTGAAGAAGTTACTATCGGTATTAAAGCAACCCTCAGAAAACTAAAAGTCACACTGTTAAGAACCATCGACATCAAATTTGATAGTTGTATCATAGAAAAAATGTTGATTGTTTTATGAAATGTAATCAACATTTCCTTTAAATTTTACTTTGACAAATAACAAGTTTTAATACCTGACGTATAACTAATAATAATAATCTTCACAACTCCTATACTGATAATTAACATGTGCTCACTTGTGACTAGCTTCGTGAGGGAATTCTAGGAGTTTTAATGCGAAACCGTGAACAGTGGGGCTAGTTCGTGTCGAATAGAGATAGGTGTCTACCTCAGTACGATGGAAGATGGTCGCGCGATTTCGTGGATTGGTTGATGTTAGACACTAACACCATTGGATGCCGGCTCAGTGGTTCAGTAAGTTAAGCGTTCGCGCGTGGGACTGAAGGCCATAGGTTCGAATCCTGCGAGCGGGATCGTTGATGCGCACTGCTGAGGAGTATCACAATAGGATGGAACGGCCGTCTAGTGCTTCCGGGTTTCCAACGGTGGTCTAACATCAATCGGTTCATGATCTCAATTAAAAATAAAACATCAGTTCAAACTTCAAGTACTCCTAGAAAGACTACGTACGATGAGACTGAAGAATGAAATTACATGTTGAGATTGAGAGGGAGTACATTTACTTGTCCGGAAAACATAAATGTCAAAGCAGATATTATTTATAGTGAATTAGTCGAAATATGATAAACATACAGTTTGTAAGTTTCATCAATCTGGTACTTCGACTAGCATTTTAGCCTTGAAACAGTCATGCAAATTCTTATTATTAGCTTTCGTGTATAAGTTAGCGTTGATTATAGTATCATGAGTGTTACTAAATTGAATTCATCTGACTAAAGTATGAGATCAAAATATCACTTGGACGACTCTGATGAATTATTATCAAAATGGAGTCCGATTAAAAAGATGATATGAAGTTGATATTTGAAAATCTATTGTTCCTAAAATTTACGATAATTACATTGATGATTAGATTTAATAGAACACAGCACTATGGGCTTTGCTTGGAATCTAAGATGTGTTTATGTAGGCATTAAGATTTTTAAATATTCTATGTGGCTGGGGAGATAGATGAATATATGTGTGAGCATGTAACCATGCTTGCGCATTAAATCAGTGAGAATTTTTCAAGACTCTCCAAATTTACCAACCCATGAATAATTATCTCAAGAGACGAACCTGATATTGGACGATCAAACAAAAATAGAGAACTAAACAGGTTCATAATCTTAATTTTTGGGTGCAGCTGTAATTTTGTTGTATGGGTCTCAAAGGCGTTCATATTAATAGAGACCTTTAGTCGAGATCACTTTGGATATCTTGAACACAGCAATAAAATAAAGACTTTCTATTGATTTTTTAAGAAAATGTAGATCAAACTGGTGCATATTTTGTTGAAGCATGTAATTATTAGCTAAACCTGCATGGTTAAATGAAAAATTCAGTCATGTCTTAAGACTAGTTAGCATGATATTTATTATCACCACTGGACTTGATAGTTCACTAAATGACTTACAACTATAAGTTAACATCCTTCTAAATAACACAATGATTACAGTGAATGTCGTAGTAACTAGAGTACTTCTAAGTTTTGTGAGTTGTACTACTTCCTATAATTAAAGTAATCATTTATTAACAGTCATTCGTGCCGGTGATTTAAATTTTTATTTATTTATAAAAGTGTAAATGTATGTAAATAAAAACAACATACCACTACGTCCATATGATTGTGGTGAACAGCGTTCATCAAATCCAGAGCTTCGTCCAGAACGAACACTGTTTGCCTTATTTAAATGAAATTTTATACAAAAAAAGAAAACATCTGTATATTCAAAATAAATGAGGTCATGGATTCAGTGGTTAAACATAAGGAATACAGTTTTATTTCAGTTATAATTTTAGCGCGCATATAAATCAACAAAAATGCTGATTTGAAAATGATAAATATAGGCTTCTAAATTTAACAGTGTGCAGTTTAAGACTACTTTTTTTGCGAAGCATTAGAAAAAAGCAGATACATGATAAGTAAGTCGTATTTATCAAATAGTTTAGTTCCAGCTAGAACGTACAATGACAAGTAAAAGCTTAAATAACACTTTAAAAGTATTCAGCAATTTACAAAACGATATTGCTTCATGATAACTATCTTCATAACACGTAGATCTCTCAAAAGAACACAATAAGTAACAATCACTTACTGACTGATGATTTCTTTCTAAATGAATTTTGTAAAACTGTAACCTGGAACCATGTCGATAGTGAGATTGTCACAAATGCTAACATGAGAATAGAATCACATTCTTACGGTTAATTGACGTAAACCTAGATATGCTTAATTTAATATCATGTGCACAAAGCTAATTAGTTTAAGGTGGTTGGAGGTAGTCATCAGGAAACACTGAATTCAAGTTTCGTGATAGTTTGTATGCTTTAACTAGGTATGATTGCATTTTTGAGGACTGCTCTCCTATAGATCTGTTAAAAGCTATCCGAATAGTTCTGTTTAACGTCTCAAACAGTGAAGCTGGATGGTTTGAGTTCGAATATCACCGGGTTTTTTTTCAATCGCCTCACGCTACTTAAATTCATAACACGGCGAAATGTTGAGTCATTCAAATAAGAGACTACGTCAAAACCTATTCGATGAAATTTTATTGCATTACCTGATGAACAAATAAATAATATTTTTGTAATATCCCAATGAGTAGAAAAATTGGATTTTCTGACGTTTCGTGACTTAGTGTAAGTCACTTCTTTAAAGAATGAATAACCAAATTAAAATTAATCTAATTTTAAATAGTACAACGGAACAATAAGAATAATATGTGATCAATCAAATATATTACTTATTTATAACAACCTACCCAATGCTCAACTTATTCAAAATTATCAAATCAAACCCTGGTAATGATACCTACAAACGTATTACCTGATGAGGATTAACTTTACTGAAAATAGCAACAGTTGAATTTACCATCAGAAAAAAAAACTAAGTCATTACTAATATTTAAGTATGATGATCTTTGAAAGTACTTTTTATCCTTGTTTAATACATTTGTTATTTAATTGTCAATTTAATGTCTTTTAAAGTTGTTTAATATTTTACAAATTAATTATAAACAAATCAAACACAATAACTCAAAATTGATTGAAAATAATACTTTAATTGTTATAGTTTTTATTGATGTAAGTGAATGTGTAATATATAGTTTCCGCAACATTGTTTAAATAATTGCTAAATAAAATCCTGACAATACATGTATAAGTATTTAGATATACTTTGAAACTTTTTTATTAGTGTGCAATGAAGAAGCTTTGGTGATTCTATACTTTGTGTGTGCGTGTTTTCTTTAAAAAAAAAGAGAACTTTCTTTTCATATTCTGTTATTTAGTCAAAATAGTTTTAATGTATGTCTGTGTGTATTATAACATAAAAGAGTTTTTGGATTCTATAGAGTAATCTATTCACAGTTTAGTATCACTAATTGAATTACCCAAAAAAAATTCAAGCACATGGTTATATCGGAATTTGCATCTGAAAAAATGTTTGTTTTTTTCTTTGATCATAAAGAAATTTGTTTTAAAAGGCAATGAATACCGAAGAAGACAGATGCATAATCTTCAAGACTAATATTCGTATTATTATCACAATTATCATCATTATTTGTACATAAGCCTATTAAATGACAAAATACTCTGTTACGAAAGGTGTTAGTAGCAAAATTTGTATATATATACATATAACAGTAAGCAAAATATGCATGATAAAGACAGACTCATATAAACTGATATACACTCAAACAAACACATTAAATTAAACAAAGGATGTTTGCTGACGGATGACCACACAGTTTAATAATTTGTACTACCGCTAGCTATGTACATATTTACATTTTATGATTAGTAAAAATTGCACTTAGAATATATTGTACAGTATCTATCATTATTCTATTACATTATTTATCATGGTGAATTATTCATTGAAAAATAAAGAATAACCATTTTTCATTTCATTAAAAGTAGGTTCGGTATTCCACTGCGTCTTTTGGCTTCTGACGTTGTGCAAGTGGGGATAGTAGTGCTATTTACTAAAGTAAAACTTTACTCGACAAAAAATCTACCGTTTCCTGGTACCTGAAAGGTTAACAGGCACGGCCGCCGCTCATGAGATGAAAATAAAGCGATAACAATGTTACATAATTGCAAAGTTTGCTATTTAAAAACTACTCATTACGCCACTATTCAACTAGTTATAATAAGTATATATCAGTGACATATGAGGAATTCGATTGAAAACAGAATAATATACCTTTCAGTTTATAATACTTATAAATTATAGAGAATTATGAGTGTGTAATGATGGATACCCATTAAGAAGAAGAGTAAATAGCTACAGTTGATAAACCCGCCTCCTTGTAATTTAGTAATCAGTATAGGTAGATAGCATATTACTGAGTTCACGCAATACAACTATGAAAATTATTATAAAGAACTTTGTTAAAAGCAAGCGAAAAAAGGTTGTTCATTTAAAACTGCAAAACATCCGTTGTCTACTTATTACGTTAAAACGCCAAAACAATTTTTGACGTTTAAATGTTTTGAGATATACATTCAGTAAGTGACTAGTAAAAAAATTGAAAATGTTTATCTTCTTTTTGGGAGTCGTCAAATGGTTGTATATGCACTTAAGTGTTAATTTTCACTACTGGACACAAAGAATATTTTAGATCACCTCATTGACTTCAAACAAAACAATCTTTAAAACCTTCCCATTCTTTTTAGTGGTACATAAAAATATAAACTATATGACAAAAGTAAAACGACGTATTCATATGAAGATAATTAATCATTGTCAATTTGACGTCTTTCTCATCATACTATCTTATACTTCGAATTACTTAGATTATAACTGTCTTATCCAATCATTAATAACAATACTATATGTCAAAAGTAAGTATTTTGTACTTCTCGGCTAAGCATTTTCTTACTGGAGTTAAGGATTTAATAGAAGCAAAATCTTTTCATCATGTTAATCAAATTTTCCTTTATAATTGAACATTTCCGTCGAATATAATGGATTATGTCAAGCAAGAATAACAAACATTATCGTATCTAGCGTACAAGTGTTCGAAAATTCTCACGAATTACTAATTTTTAATAATAATAATAATAATAATAATAATAATAATAATAATAATAATTAAAATTTGTTTAAACAAGAACAATTACTGAGTGATTGGGACATGTTTCATGATAAGTAATAAATGTTGGGCTTCAATAATGTACATTTACAGTATTTCAATTAAACTGAAACAAGGATCATCTTAAAAAAACAGTGAAGAATTCATTACGCTCCAGCATATTTTAATCATAACGATAATCTGCTAATAACATTCGGAATATATTTACAATAATTAAAATATCAAATGTTAAAACTCAAAAAACTTATTTATATGTAAGATCTTATCAATAACATTATTTTATTCAACTTTCTAAACTAAGACAATTGTGTATTTTTATTATAGATTAACTGATATTGTGGTGTGTGCTACTGATGTCGATAGATATGAGCTATAAAAAAGTGAGATGCCTGAAGGTAGAAGGTTAAGAAGATCGAAGAAAAGATAATGATGGATGTGGAAATGAAGGGACAATGAAGTCTGAGATGACTGATTGACATTTTACAAATAAAATGTTTGCTGTATAGTTCTCAGATTTTATTAAAACATTCATTAATTTTGTATTCAAACACATTTGGTTGTCCCGCACTTGCGTTCGTGTTCACTACAATATCAGCTGATTGTCAGTTAATTTGAAAATAATTCATTTTTGATGAATAAGGATTCTGTCTTTGTTTAAACTCTTCAATGTGTTAATTCTATGTGTTTATATATATATATATTTTCTAACATGACTGTGACAGTTACATTTATCTATTTCATCATCGGACACGTGAATAAATAAGATTATTACCTAGAGTCACATGTCCATGACACTTATCAAAACTATCATTTAAAGTATCGTCGTATGTTGGATGAAACAATTAAAACAAATGCTCAAAATTTAACTATCAGTGAAATTGAACAATAACCATTACAGAATGATATACTAAAAAGGAATGTGAACTTCACATGATAAATAAATAAATAGATAGATAATATGTAATACAATGTATAGATGGTAATCTTGGAAAATATGCTTTATAAATGCTTCTTGTAAAATGCGATTCTACTGAAAGTGGGGACAAATGAAATGGTATTATCATTTATTTAATTTCAAATAAAACAACATTATATATATATATGTTTTAAATTAATTGCATGTATCCATAATATAAATCTGTATAATAAAATCCTAAAACTTCAAAAGATACATATATGAATGCTATTTTGTGGTTAGTTATAAAAGATAATTGATTAAACAAAGATATGTAGAGTAATTGAATGTTAAATAAAAATAAACTATTTGATTTAATTATTCATTTCTAATTAGAATTATAGATGAACTAATTATGAGGATCATAACGTATTTGTATATGCATGATTAATTTTAAACGAAAACGTAATCTCAAATTTTAAAGGACTAATTTTGAAAATTTTAGAAAGCTTCACTATTGAAAGTTTAATATCAGAAAACAAAGCATAGCTGAGATTATCTTCCTGAGCTACACATCCACATTATCAGGATCTAGCACCCCAAAGTTGGTAATATGTAGTTTACTCGACATTCACTGCTCAGAGTCAATCTTGTTTATAGTTGTAAACAATATTCGCTCTTAGATATACGCTGCCATCTAGATATATTGTGTACCCTGAAAATCCGTCAACAAATAGTTAGCATTATAATTCATTCAAACCATTCTGATAAACGAAATTCAGTATGGTACAAGTATGGTTAGCAAAAGTAAATGATCCTCAAAAAAGTCAATCATGAATAACGTCTCATATTGTTGGGTATTGCTTTATTTTGCAAAACTTGAACCTAAATTATCTACAAAATAGTCTTTTTGACGATACTCGTTTCAAACTTTTAAACGGTGTTTTCAGTTGAAACAGAGCCTTTGAAACTAGCATTCTGAATATTTAATTCTTAAGGACACATCACATAGTTCAATAAATATCGGCATAAAATTAAATCACCATACTTTTCGCTTTATTCACTAGTTGAGAACTTTGTTAAGAATGATCAAGGATACAGTGCAACTTTATCTGAAGGATATTTTGCATTACATTTATTTATTATATGCATTCTTATATTAATATTTTAAATTATATAGCTAAATATCAGTCAAAATTCACATCACAGTTGTTTTCTGTCATAACATAAACCTCAAACTTTATTCTTAATGTACAACAAGAAATAATGTTTAAATTTTTCAAGACATCATTCATTTTCTTTCTTTTAAATCAGAAATTTACTTCATTAAATGGTGTTGATTAAAGAAATAGTAAAATTCTTAACATCTCATTTACAATTATAAATACTTGTTAGCAAATAATTTAATTTAATGCAAAAAATACTTCTGGTTTAAATAACATATTAGAATTATTCATATTTAAATAAAATATTAAGCAATAACCTAATTTTATAATTGAATTCATGAATCGATTGAAGCTAGACCATCATGGAATATCTATAAGCACTGGATTGGTTGACGTTCGACATTAACACTGTTGGACGCCGACTCAGTGGTTTAGAGTTTAAGCGATCGTGTGTGTGACCGATATATCCTGGGTTTGAATTCCGTGGGGTGGGATCGTGGATGCACATTGCTGGGGAGTCCTATACTAGGACGAAACGTCCGTCTGGTGCTTTCAGGTTTTTCACTATGGTCTATCTTCAATTGACACATGATTTCAACTATTAAAATTAATAACTAATTCAAAGAATTTCATTTATCAATAGATCATCTACTTTATTAATAAATTCACTAAGCACTGAGATTAGATAAATATCATTCAGAAAAATAATAATTAAAAAAGATCACATTTTTTTTAAGAGAAAAAAAAAGATTGACAAATCAAAATTGAAACTAGTAGCAGAATGATCATTTAAATTTTTGGAACAAAATGAAATAAAATCATGCATACAAAAATAGTGGAATGCACTTACCCACTGATAATAGTAAATACCAGAAACAAAAATGAACCATTAAAATTAAATGAATGAAAGAAAAAATTAGAATTTTGATTCTTAAAATGATGAATATTTAATATTAATGAATAGTATTTAACAAAACCACAAAAATTCATGGATACTAATATAAAACTCCACCAAAATCATCCACCTGAGCTACAAATCTTCTCAACCATCATAAAACTATTTTCCTATGAATATAAAGATGCTTTTCAAGTTTACTTTATATGTTTCAAATTACAACAATCATTCATTCTATATTAGAAAGAATTCAAAGTAGATATTCAATTAAATGTTATTTGGAATGTCTGTTTTGATGATTTAGATATAACATTTCTCTGAAATCATAAGAAATATCAGCCATATTTAAAGAAGAGGCTTGTTCAACGGTTGCGTTTTAAATAAATGTTTTGCATTTATATTTTATGAGTAATATGGCTGAAAAGATCATTGAAAAACAAGTATAATGGTCTTCTGGTCATTTCATTCAAAATTATTCGCTTCCAGACGTTGACTAATTCAAAAATTCGTTACATATGGCGATTATGCAGGAAGCATTTTAACTAAGTCGGTATTCTGAAAGCTCATGTTTATATATAGGTGGCTAAATGAGCTTAAATAAAGGCATGTTAGCGATGACCTTGGTTGAATAAATAGTTAAGATTACGGTGACAACTTGCCTTATACTTGTATCACATTTGTCGTTTTGATCTAAGATAGCATGTGACCTGTCTAGTCTTATTTGACAGTGTATATATGTCATACACAATATGAAAGGAAACATCCAATCGATGTTTCATATTTGCTCTACTAACATTTATGTCAAGTGTCTGTCAACCATAAAAGTGTGTAGTATAAAAATAAAAATTTATTCAGAAAGTCTACGAATACAACCATACAACTAACCACAATTAAGTATATCATTTGTTGCAGACTAAATTGTTGTAACTTGATAAGTGTTATAATAATAACCGAAGGTTATAACCCTGTATGAATTAGTTTATTTAAGTTGAATAATTATAATATCTGTTAGCAATTAATGTATGTTGTGTCAAGATGTTAATCATATTGTGAACTGTGAATTCACTGTCATATTATTAAGTGCAGAATCTCATTGAGTCGAATAAAGCTACAGTCGTTTGATGGATTTACCGTAACATATAACCATTAATTATTTTTGGGATAACTTGTATGCCTTTGTAATGTATTTAAGAGGTATTTTTATTCATGAATTAACGTCAACGATCAGTATTAATTAGTGAGTTCAGTGAAAAGTAATCCTTGATCACTGTAGATATTTTGGTGTCATAATATCTGAAACACCAGATAATCCTATCTGTGGTTGTAGGCATTGTCTACTGAGAAATTTCGAACCAGAAGGACTATTAATCACAGATGTTTTCTTTAGCTTTCCAATTACTGCCAGTTATTGACAAAATTACTTTCAAGAGATGAATAATACCATAATCGATCCACCGTACAGTAAAACTAATAGGGAAACATACTGAGAAAATTTTTAGTAGTTGAATTTATGAGTCAATTGAAGCTAAATTCTGATGTAGTATTGTACATCAAACCTGTTACACACATAGATATTCAATATGATTGTATAAATATGTCTTAATGATAACAATATGTATTCTAATATATAAAATTTCGCTTACATATTCAGACATGAAAATCAAAACAATTCTTATTTATTTGATAAATTTGAAGGAATTCAGTGAAATCTTTTTTCAAGAAATCAGCCATTACTCATTGTATAGGTATATACAATTTCAAAGATATCATGTTTAGTGAATGAGAATCAAACATTTAGTTCGGTTAGTTTATCTAATTGATATCATAACTCGTCGTTAATATATTAATTATAAACACATCTTTCATTGATGCACAACCTGTATTAGTTATACAACATCATTTTGTCATCAATTACATAATATGGATCGATATTACAATTTTTGTCATTATGCTATCATGGTCATTCACCATTCGAACTCTCTTGTTAAATATATATATCCTATCAGTTTAAAAGTAACTTGTTTACAAGTGCAAACTGTCAGTAGCAATAATGCTAATACTAACTAATCTAACTAGACTAAAGAGTTATAAATATGATATTTTGTCATTTCCTTAAAACTATTGCAAATTAGTTCAGAACAACATATTGCCTATATGTGTATACACAGTAATAGTAATATTATTATGAATAATAATAATAAACTAAACTTTCTTAAATACATGGAAATATTTACGTTTTTATGAAGGATTCCATGACTCAGATGATTAATTCAATCATTAACTAAAAGACAGAAACTAGAAGAAGTAAATTGTTCATTAATAATTATTAAATTTAAAATAGTTTTGATTAATAACTGTTGAGTTTATATGTATAAGGAAGATTTAAATTTACACATTAGACTCTATTTATAACAAAAATGAGAATCACCTATAACCGGTATTTCACCGAAAAAAATATTTAGAATGAAAACTGAAGTTCTTAACACAAAAAATAAAACGATTAATATATTGGATTATCAACAAAGAAGTTAATAGGTCAGTATGATTTGTTATGCTTAGAAGTAGTGGACATTTCCTTTAATTAACATTAACACACATAGAAACAATCATAAGAAGTTTTCTGTACTCAAATACAAATGCAAGCACGTATTGTGTAATATCTACGTTTTAGATGTAATTTCAGCTATTTCATTTGACTAATGTCTTTGTTTGACTACATACTATTACAATAAAAGCTATACAAATATTGTCAGCAAATGTAATGGATTTTGTAAAAGAACAGTCAAAATGAAAATGCTTTTGTTTTGTCATGCATCAGCTAACCTCACTGTATTGTTTTGATAGTCTCAATGTATGTTGAGTCCATAAGTCATCTGGAAATGAAGTGATTTTGCTTCTAATACGTTGAGCATCTGCACTGTATCTTATCTAGAATGAATACATATATATATATGTTTTTAGGTCAAAAAATGTTGTAAATTTTATCAAACGCGTAGACATCAAGAGTCAACGAATATGTGTTCATTTACTTTAATAAATGAATTGATTTTAAGGATGGTTAATATGACTCCATAGTCTTCAGGAACCATTACTGTGTATTGAAAAATGGATGATGACAAAACTAATAGGTAATCTAATCCCTTACTAGTATACATTTGTATCCATTAAAAATGAATCGTACAATCTAGATGTTGTACTCCCTAGGACTAATTAACACAAAATATCTTCAGCAGTTTGAAAATAAACCTATACTTTCTCGGAGTTTCGACCATATTTAGTTTATTGTCACAAATGCGTCATACTATCTGGATGTAACTGTTTATTGGGTGATCCACTCAGTAATTAAACCTAGTTTACTTATCCCTCTTGCTTACAATAGCCAGAAACTTCAAATAATAGACAAAGATAAACCGACAGAATGACAACTTTTTATGCGAAAAGTATAATCTTGTTCTATTACTCTATCCAAGACATTTTGTTTATCAATAAACCGTCCTATATATTATATAGGGTTGTAGTAAGATTATAGTCTTCTTATATTCGTTAAACTTGTAAAAGTGAAAGTGACTTGAAGCAAATCTTTCTAGTATATAACTATAAATACAACGTATAATTTGTGACGTTATTTTATCGCTCCAAAACACACATTACCGAATTGTTTACATAATCAGGTAACTGACTGACTGACTAACTAACTACTTTAATTTCAATATATACTTTCATTTTCCTTTGATAGATAGATTCTTATCAGAGTTTTGTTCATTTTGCCTGAACATGGGTTATATTTTGTTGATGATTTTTTGACGAAGAGTGTTTTTTAAACAAAATAATTATAATTATAAATGAGACTGATCAAAACAATCATTTGAAGATAGTCCTAAATTTAATTTCAGATTCTGTTATACATTAGTAAGAAACGGGACAAAATACTTTGTCTTATTAGGAAAATACTTTTCTGTATTTCCCTATGCCATTCAATTAAATAGCTTTCATAACTTGAAATTTATTAAAACATTTTCTGTACTTTCAATTAAATATTTCACTCAGTGAAGGAAATACATTTCAATGGTCAGTCAAGCATAATTGAAAAAAAACTTTTATAGTGACAAAATAAATCTGTCAACTAGTACACTTTCTTATCAACAATCTTGTGCTTTCAAACAATCAATCAAGTAAATGGTGATCTCATAAACGTGTTTACTACAACCTACGAACAAATATCATGAACCAAATTAACATGTAATGTATTCAGCCGGATTTTTAATAAAATATTAGGCTTTGAAGTATATGGAATTTGCTGTAAATATGCTTTAGAATTATTCAAATCATGGCGAAATAATACCTGTGGTAAGATATGTTAGACGACAGTCAGAGAATTTCAATGACCAACAACAAATATAAGGCATGTGTGTGCATTAATTTGTTATAACTTGAAAGTGTGTCTTTCTATGGTTCGTATAATTTCCTGTTTGAACACAAAATAAGCAATCAACTTGCAGAACAATTTGTTGAAGATTATTTGTTTTATTTTCAGATTTCAATGATCTCAGTCTCAATGGAAATTTTTGAATTTTGGGTTAAACAGATTACAGTTCAATAAAAAATGTACATACTATGGTAGATAGCATATGACTTAGTTAAATGAAAGAAGATCCTATTGTGTGATAAGGTGAGATGTCACGATAAACCCTGATTAGTATAAACTTTTATCATATTTTGTTGTTGAACTGTTGGTAAACATAGATATAAACCTACTAGGAGACGTCAAAGAAGGTAGACCTTGGGTGACAAGAGATAGTCTGCAGGAAACCACGAACTCTCTTTTCTTGTTAGTGAGCATCTGTCTGCAAGGTTTGTCTATAATCTTGAGAAAATCAGTGCTTCTCATGAGACTCAGGGCTGCTTCACTCAGCTTCGTAGTCTTAGACGTTATTACTGAGAATCGGTCAAATGTAAAGAGCAGATTTATTCACCGACGCCTGATTGTCAATCAGGTTCTAGATTTGAACTCAGTTTGACATACTTTGGCGTGGTTTCGTTGAATCTCAAACAAAGATTGTATCTTTGTAAAGGACTGTCAGATATTGACAGATATTCAAGAGGTCATGAAGACCAGTTACTTTCAGACCTTGACCGACATAACTAGAAATAATGCTCTAAATCCTCATCATCAGTTTGTCATTTTCATATATGTCATTGCTGTCATTATTGCTCACTGAAAACCGTAAGTAAATAAAATTTAGTTGGGACTGAATTTCTTTTGCTTTGCTCTAATTAATACAACTGTTCCGTAAGTCATTATTATAAACTTTATGTAATAACCGATCATAATGTTAAGACAGTAATAGAATCAACAAACAATTAAGTAATAATTCTATAATATCCGTGAAGTAATAGAAGTTGATTTTTATTGATTAAAGATAGTCATAAACGTAGTTATATATTGTGTATGTTAAACATATTTTGTTAAAGCATTCCACAGAAACTTTATTTGTTAGGCGTCTTTAATAAAAGTGAAATTCAAAGTTGACATTATCTACTTTATATCTATCAAAAGTGTCAAATTATTATGAGCACGAATGAAAAGTGGCTAGCAATGAAATCCACGATGCGTTTCGTCCTGGTTGCAACTTGTCAGAGGGATGTACCTCTATTCGGGAGTTAATGTTCACTCTGAGACTCGAACACAGTACCGTTCACTTTGAACGCGACAGATGATACTGGATTTGGGTTCCGGAGTCAATAAATCTGAAATAAAGCTTCAACCGATTGACAGGTCCCGAATAGGACTAAACGCACGTCCTGGATTTTAATGCTGTTCACCAACCACCTTCCTTTTAATGCTTATGAATTCATAGCAATATCGATGCGATCCGCTCAGGATGCATACATTTGCGTAAGAGACGGGCCAATCGCAGTCCTAAACATCAGTAGAAAGACTTGAATAACTAACACGAATAAGTCTGTTTTTTCTGTAAACTTCCTGTAATGTTGATATATTTAGGAATAAATGTTCAATATAATGATTGGTGTTATTTCCTGTTGTATTTAGTTCTAGGGAACGTTTAGTAGGAAGGATTTTAAATTATCTATACGTCTATCATATTTGTAATTTGGATGAGAAATAATCCATAAATCTTTACGTTAGTGAAAATAAATTTCCGTGAATCAGGAGACTTCATCATTAGGTTCTTAAATTACAAAACTTCAAAATGAAATTTCATTTACCGAATAAGTGTACATCAATTTCATTTACACATGTATTTTCATCCATTACAAACTTCTGTTTATCTCAACAATTACTTTCACTTAGTAAAAGTAATTTATGATAGTTAGTCTGGCTTGAATAAGGTAGTTGTAATAGGTGTTAATTTACTCAAGTCACCAGCTAAGTATTTGTCATCCTAAAACTTATTGATTAGAGTTGAGTGTATACGTTTCTTTTTCTGTGTATAAGTTTAGGATACATAAATGTATTTTCTAATACTTTTGTGCATGGAGCATGATAATATCATGTCATTTTGATTTATCCTTTTTCATCACATTTAGATACTTACTATCAAAAACATTAATATTATTCATTTGATCAAATCATCCTTTCAGACGCTAATAGATTTCTAGTATCTATGTATTTGAATAGCAAAAAGCTATGAATGAAATTTCAAATGAATCAAAGGTAGATACCTATCTAATCACTTATTATTTATTAGTATATTTTAAATGTCTGTTCAAAATACCAGATCACTTTCGATAAAAAGAGACTATTTCTAGTCCTTAGTCCGTGGTTAAAATCATGTCTAGCTTGATCAACAAAAATGTCACGCATTAAAGAATGGTCATCAAAGTGATCTAAAGAAAACAACTGGAATTATAGAAAAACACTTACACTGCTAAACATTCTTGTATTGTTAGCTACTCTCAATAGTTCTGGTGTATCCGGAATGAATGTAAATGAGGTTGGCTTTGGAGTGTGTCTACACAAAAATGAAAAGCAAATTGTAGGCAACATATTAGAAAAATAAATTTCCAGAAATATAAGTAAAGCTTTCTGACCTAAATGGACGAATAATTTATGAATACTATTTTCATTTGGAAATAGTTCTTGTCACGAAGTAGAATCTAGTATTATATCACTAAAAACCATCGACCGATGAATGGATTTTCTGACCTACTACGGATGACAAGAGTACTGTCCACTTACTGGTTCACCTTAGATTGAATCAGAAACACAACCATGTAGAATTTAAACCATCGACGTTTAGACCAGCAGTTCACAATTCTGACACCAGCCTGCATCAGCATTTCGTAATGTAAACGATCGGATTCAAACTAACGGTAATGTGACTACAAAAAGATCTGAATATCCTGAGTTTTGCATTTGTATGGGGTTCTTGGTGAGTTTATTGGACTGTAGGAAGCTGGTCATTTAGTTTTCCACGGTTTTAGAAATTATCTCAGGTAGTGGCAGTTTGTGAAGAAAATTATATTTGTAGACTTATTCAAACTTTGACCACTTGTAAGAAACCGCAGTGTATATGTTTGACTTAGTTGCAGCATATAAGGTGGATATTATCTGAGCGCAAAACTGCCCAGGATCCCTTATAATCATCCATTTGTAATAATTTCTGTGACATATTAGGACCAAACTTGGAAAAAAAATTGTTGAACGTTTGAAGCCTGTAAATACTAAAGTTATAAAGATAGTCATTGTTGTGATTTGCATTAATCTGTCAAAAGTTATTAACAATTATGAGATTCCAATGAACTTACGCCGCACAATATGGCTTCTTATCATACCCACCATGATAGTTACATATGCTTAAGGCCATCCCACAGTGCTGACAACGGAAACATCTCCTATGCCATACCTATAACAGTTGTGTGCACACAGGAAAGAGGGGGAAAAAATAAAGCAACAAAAACAAATATGACAAGTATCATACATAATGTATTCCATGGATTTCAAATATGATTTCGAAAATTTATCTATTCTATTTATGTTAGAGATTTAAAAGTTAGAGTTTTTAATAATCATTTTGAAAGGTAAATTTGAATTGTTGAGAATGTATGTGAAAATGTATATATTATTCATTTTGTTCATCATGCAAGAGATATTTATCAAACCTTGTGATCGTTCCTTTCCACCACGGCTCGCAATACTAACATCTGATGTGAAAATCGATGATTTAATATTTGTTTATTATTGTACTCAATTAAAATAAAAATCGTTAAAAAGAACTGGTTTACTAAATTATCAATTCGGAAGCATAGTAGATCTACTCACGTTAATTAATTGAAGCACTTTGTCGGCTTTCAGCCTTAACCAAATAAAATAATTAACTGTATGCACTACTTAACCCTTTTACCAGTCAAACAACAGAGAAAAGTATGTCAGGACAAGCTTTAAAGAAATAAAATGCAGTGTAGTTATTCAGTGTTTTGTAATATACCAATTACGAGTGATTATCGTTTTCTAAAAACACAATATTTTATTGCCTAGTTCTTGAATAACATCTTACATGGTTTAACAAATAAAATAATTTTTACCATACTAGTGATATACGTCGATTTGTTGCTACTATACATGTGCAATACTTAGTACTTACCAGTGATGAAGAACGTTAAACTCAACTTTCTAATAGTTTTTGTGTAGTGATGTGCTAATTTAAACTGTGTAAAAGACCAAGATGCCCATACCTTAAGCATACATACCAAGGAGTTAAAGCAAATGACAAGTAACTTGGGTTACTAACATTCATAATAAACTATTCTTCTCAAATAATTCCTGGGAAATATACACAGTGAACTACTACCGAACATAAGCAACCAAAGTTTGTATTAATCCTGACAATAAATGCCGAAAACAATAAGTAGTCTTGGTTTTCACCTGTTTTTATTTTAAGAACATAATTTTGAACCTGCAGCGCTCAAAATGCTGAAATCGGCGTTCAAAAGTTGAGAGCTGAAGATTTCAAGTGGCTGGTCTAGCAATTTGTCAATCAAAACAATTCACTGAACTTTACTTGCACACTAATCAAGGAACGAAAAGTAAGATAAACCATGGAATAATTCAATTTTTTATTTTAAATGTTATCAAAATTATATTTTGAATAGCGTTTAGAGTTTATTATGCCTCGAAATTGTCCAAACGGACTTATTCTGACTTTAGAACTGACTATGGTGAAGCGATGAACCCATTTTACCTTAGTATCTGAATATAGGTTCATGATTTACTGTTGAATATGTAAAAAACGTAAATTATAAATGTACTTTGCATCCATTCATAAGATAAAAGAACAATAGGCGTATGCGATTCTAATAACTTTCTACAACTATGAGCAGTCTTGTTTGGTCGTGCAACTTTTTAACCAAATCCTTGATTTTATTTGATCGGACCAAACTTTTTCCAGAGCCTATTTTATGGCGTATATTAGTCACGTAACATTTAACCAAAATGAACAAAGTTAATCCCCGACACATAAAAATGTGCATTACGTGAGCACAGTAGAATTGTAGTGAATCAACTGACAAATTGTTAGCTCAAATAGTCATGGACAACCATGTAACCGATAAGAAAAACTTTTGATCTCTTTAGTTTGTAATGGAAATGTTTGGTTTGCTTAGACAGTGAACATCTTACTACGTTTATTTGCACAATCTAAAGGCCAACTGTTTCAAAAACATTCCATTCTGTTTAGCTCCCCCTATGTTCTGTATAATATAAATAAAACAGGAATCCTATGCCTACGGCCCCCGAATACCCTGTTACGGCCGAGAGTGGTGAGAGTCCGCTCTCCTTCTTAAAATTTTTTCACACAGCCTCTGCCAGGGAAGTCCTACTCACTGTATTCTCGTGACGGGAGTGTTGTATACGAAAATGAGAGGACGAAAAGTGAATGTCCGGCGCTTTTACCGGATTCCAAACCAATGGTGCACATAAGCTCCAGTATCCTGCGGGGAAAAATGGCGTATGAACCAATTGTTGGTCACCGGCTACCATGGGACTGCATCTCCTTACGATGCTGCACTGCCTTGCGGATCAGACCCTCAGGTCGAAGGCTCAGGTTGTGGCCCCCTAAGAAAACCACCTGCTTCGGTCTGGGCACCCAGGCAGTATCACAGCCCTCACACATATCGAATGAGATTTGTGTGGCGCATATGTATTTTGTGCCTCTTTGTACCAGTATCTGTGTTGAAATAAATAAAATAAATAAACTATGCCTACGACACTGACTAACATATAAAACCAATGATTATTCAAAATATAAGACTATATATTCTCAGAAATTTCAATGAATGTAACTAGGTTTAAAATGCTTGTTGGTCAGTCTATTGACTGAAACGTTTTTACGGCTTCTTTAAATTCACGAATTCGTTACGTACTATAAAAAATCCATCGTTAGAATACTCACTACTTGTATACTGCATACGTTATAGGAGTGGATAATTGTAGAAGGGTTCAAAAATATCCTCTTACTATATCTTGATTTCTACTGTCTAATTCCGTTCAGAGAGTTGATTGTAACGTACCATGAAATAAATTGGTACAAATATAGTCCTAACCACTGTAAGATTTTTTATTGTCCAATCTTATACAACCACTCACTCTTATACATAAATAAAGTTTTCTGCAGATATGCTTATGTTTTGGGAAAATTACATCTAAAAACGTCTCTTTGAACGGCTGAAGTTGGAAGAACTATGCTTGCACACGTACACGGCTTCACCATTGGGATTGCCAATAAAAATTATTATACATGAAAACGCCAAGCAAATGAAATCTAGGGATTAATTATCGTCCAGATGCAAAGTCGAGTATAAGTTGTATCCGAGTTATTGAGCAGATGTAGTTGCAACAGTCATATAAGATCATCAGATTGATAAGTCTTCATTTTTCCATAGCCACTATTTACTACTGTCTTGTTGTTTTCTAGGACACTCAAAAAATATGAGTCTATTTTGATTTCGGTTTGTAAAAAGGATTTTATCGCGATTAATGTGACAGAAACAAGAGTTCCTTTGGTCATATAACGGTTTTAAAGCCTGTTTTTAAGTCTTGTATAATTTAAACCATTGAAATTATGTTTTTTGAAGTCCTAAATATTCACAAGTCGGCTTCATTGTAGAAAAAATACAGTAATTCTAGGATTACACAAAAACGTATGTTTTGCTGAGTTGCATACATTTTTATATTTACGAAACAAAACAGTCGACTGTGTTTATTTACTTGATGACTGATACTAATGTTTGAGATTCAAAATGTCCGTTTAAGAAAATTTTAGGTAAATTTGACATTTTAGGTCTATTAAAAACGCAAAGCACGTTTATCATAACCTTTTAAATCGTTTTTTAACCATATTGGTTTATTGGTTTTACGGCTTTGTGTAACATCAATAGGAATTAATGAAAGACGTTGGGATTAAAACTAGCTAAATTTATACTGTAAGGAATACAGAATGTTTTACTCCCTCACATCTCATAGTAAAAGTTCTTAGGGGCTTAGAGGGCTAACACCTGGTCAGGCTGCCTGCTGATTTAAAATAAAACATTACATTTAAATGATTTTATCTAGGAGAGATTCATATTTACGATCCAGACATATGTATTACATAAATTCTTTCGGTTTATTTATAACGACCCATATGTTCTAAAAATATAGTGAAAAACATTAATGAAACTGAAAAAATCTACAAAAAAAACATAAAGCACTTTTTAGGACAATGTGAAGACGTTTCACTAACCTGATCAAAACATCTTATCAATTCCAGAGGATAGACGACTTCGCAGCAAGAAGCACAAACTTTATTTGTGTTCATCATGAAATAAGAGACTGGCTTATATGTCTTAATCGAAATTTTATTTATTGAAAATAATGATTTTCAAAATCTCCGAACTACGATTGCGCGTTTTTATGTGCTTAATTCAGAAAAGTATACAATACGTATAAGACTAATTTAGTGAAACATTAAAACATACAATTCAATTATCAATAAGTTAGTCACAACCTAGTGTAAACTGAGTTATATCTTTGTTATTTTTATTTGTAGACAACTTGACCTATTCTTAAGGACCGGGACAGTATCACACCATGATTTACCAATTTCTTTTCCTCTTTTATTGTTAACATACCTAGGTTCCTGCCTGGAGGATTTGGTGATCCCCTGCTACTAGACACGGAAGCCTGTTAAGCGAGAGCTTCTTCTATTCCGTCCACAACCATTTGAACCATTTGAAACAGTTTTAGACTTTTCATTTCGTTCTGTACAGGTATTTGAAATACATAGTCAAGAAGAGATTGTTCCCATGGATTTGGATTGAACTTCAGTACATATTTTAGGGATTAACAATGACTTTTCATCGCAAAACAAATAGTTATGGATCTGTTTTGAAAGTTCTTACAATGTTAGCTGTGTAGATATAGTGTATTAGTATATTCAAGGAAGTAGTTAAACTAACTGATTAGATATCTCTATGGCCCTAGCCAAATATCTAGCAGTCAGGTCACAGAATTTTGAACAGTTCACCGATCATCTTCCAGGCTAAGGCCAACCAACGTTTGGCAGCTGATTGTACGCTACGACTTGGATTGTGTTTTAGTGGTTGCACTGTTTTTTGTACCTTTTTCTACTAATATATCTCTTTATCAACATCCTTAGTGTTGGACGGTCATGAAAGTAGCCATAGTACTTGGATGTGACGAAGGGTGGTCCATATTATGTATCAAGTGTAGTGTGTGACCTCAATGTCGCACTATTTCTTTATAACTGGAGTAGGCCCCCCGATTATTCGACACGGATACATTCCACTTAACGGACTTACAAATGTTCGTTGGAAACCAACAGATAAAGGCTATGTTTCTGGCCTCTAATTGATGGTGAAGAAGCTGGAAAATTGAAAAAAAATTTCGTGCTATCGATTTGAACAGAAAACGAAGTTAACTCACGAACACAAGTAGTTGGTATGTGATAGGTACGTAGAATTGAGGATAGGTATTGATCATATAAGATATCATTCAACATGAACTATGAGGTAAATAAAGAATGCAGCTTTTGAGAAGAATCTCCAGTTTTAAAAAGTTATAAAGTCTACGATTCTGTGGTGTTTCCGGAGTCAAAGTGTGTTAAAATTAATTTACTGACCTTGGGAGAATATGTTTACTGTATGAGAAGTTATTTTAGGCTTGTTAATTGAAAAGCAAGTGGAGTTAATTACAGAAAAGTTTAATTGTTACGTCAGACGGTTTACACGGTCAATCCAGTGAATACTTATTATCTGTCTGCTTGCTGAAATTTAAACATTTCAATCACTATGTAATATTATGGGTGAGTCTGAATGATAGTAGTCACACACTCGTTTTCTCGTGTGCCTGCAAATTTAATAATTATTAGCAATACGCAATTTCGCACAACTGGTGTTCTGGCTTTTGAATCATCTACAGTGAATTAATAAAACTACCAGGAGATTTAGCGTGCGTTAATACTCAGTCAACAAAATATTATTTATTGGAATTAGACATATAGGAAATAACTCTGACTGTAGTTGGGCCTCAGTTAGAAAACGAATCATTTTTCTACAATGTGTGGTTCATAATCTCTAACATTCTTCAGTGCAAAGAAAACGATGTAGTAGATGCATTACTGAGATTAAATATTGATACCTTTTCAATTTCTGACATAAACTATCAAGATATGGCAGAAATTCAGAAGCATCCATGGAACAAGGAAAAATTTTGCAATCTGAGAAAACGAACTCTTATTCCAAGACATTCCTGTAAACGACATGGAGAATTTGAAATGTAATATCCCAAGTAAGACTCGCTTCGTGATACCTTAATGCATGAGACCAAACGCTTTCGAACAATTGCACAACATATCCCATTCACGTATAAATCGACGGTGAGGTTCATCACAAATAGGTTTGCATGGTCAAACATAAAGATCTACGAGAATCGAGCACAATAATTCATCCAATGTCAAAACTCGAAAGTCCACTGATACATCATGCCACTTGTGAGAACTTTTCCATTCGCTAGCGCTAGGATCAACCACATTCATCTTGACATCGTTCGACCATTACAAATATCCAGTGGTTGTATACGCTGACTAACATTTATAGACGGATTCACGAGATGGCTCAAAACTGTCACGTTGGAAGACACGTCAGCATCAACATTAACAACTAAATTTCTGAAACGCTGGATTGCAAACTTCGATGTCCCAACAAACATTCGACCGAATGTGGAGCCTGGTTTGAAAGCAAAATGTTTTAGCAACTCACAAACATTTTTGGCATAAAGAGGATTGGAACCAAAGCTGAAATCCAGCTGCTAACGGGATGATAGAAAGTTTCCATAAACTGCTAAATGTCCAGCTGACAGCCACTGGATGTGATTTCAAATGGGATGTCAAGCTTTCTCTGGTACTATTAGACATTCGCTCAACTATCAAACAAAACATCCGTTGTTGTGCTGCTGAGTTGTTTTATGAAAGGACGTTACGTTTGCTTGGTGAATTCCTTGACCGTGCGACAGATATTTCAGCACACATAACAAACTACGTGCAACAATTAGAGCAGAAGATGGAATCCGTCAGGTCTGTGTAACCCTGTACCAATAAAATGAGATCATTCGTAGCACAGAAATGGTTGAGCCCTTGCAGGGTCCTTACGACTGTCACTTTAAAATTGTCAGAAAATAATATAAAATGTCACAGTAGAAAGAGCCAGTAAACACAACACTGTTAGCACTGATATATTGATCCAGCAAATCTAGCGTTCACCGGAAAACAGAAAACAGCATAATCGTCTAAATCCGCAGCAAAGCAATCACCAAACAAACCATCTGCAACAAACACCACTTCACACCGATGTTCATCACTACAAAAAGATTAGGATGAGGAGTAATTGAATAGATGTGTATGTAGTAATCGTCATATTTACATAGACCAAATACTGAGATTATTCTTAGAACACAAAAACTCCTTCTCTGTACTATTATCTTTATTTTTACTACCAGAATAAACAATTTAAACCATTTAAACTGTCTGAAGGAAAAAAATATTACGCTTCATGAACGGAGCCGAGAGCAATACTCCTTCTGACAACCACAGCAATAATTTTTATAGGTATTGTAGGAGACCGGAAGGACTAGTCAAATAACAACTGAAGTGAGGAGATACAAGTTGACAGTTCTCGGAATCAGCGAAACACATTGGGTTCAAGTTGGATAGAACAGAATACTTTCGAAAGAGATGGTGCTGTGCTTCGGTCACAAAGATGATAACACTCCGCATACTCAGGGACTTGCTCTGATGATGTTCAATGAAGCACGTCATACACTTATAGGATGGGAATCTCATGAATCCAGGATAATCAAAGCACTTTTCAAAACAAAGAATGTGGGAATCACAATTAATCTTATCCAATATCATACACCCACCAATGATGGCAACGACGACATACTGCAGTTGATCGCAGGGACGTTCCCAGCAAAGGACCTGACCATCTTGATAGGTCACCTAGACGCCACTGCCAGAATGTACAACACGGGTTATAGAGATATCATGGGACGATATGAACTGGGTGAAAGAAACGAGAGTGGTGAGTGATTAGCATTTTTATGTGCATTCGACAAATTGGTTATAAGTGGCAAAATGTTATCACACAAACACACACAAAGATACATTTGTCTTGCTAGATTACACTACACAGAATCAGACCGATCATATCTGTATCACTAAAGAATTCAGGACTATGAGAAACGTGAGAACCAGGAGAGGAGCTTACATAACTTCAGATCACCACCTGGTTCTGACCGAGATTAAACTGAAGCTAAAGAAACACTGGCGGAACAGCATTATAAAAGTTCAGTACAGACTTCCTTCGAAATACTAACAAACAACCAATTCAAAGTAGCCTTCAACAACAGGTTCCAAGCCTTACATGATCTACTAAAAGAAGAAATTACTATGGGGGGAAATTGGATAGGGATCAAAGAAGCTATAATTTCAACGTGTCAGGAGGTGCTGGGACTCGACAAGTGTCATCAAAAGGAATGGATCTCTATCGAAACTCTGGACATGATCCAAGAAAGGAAGTACAAAAAGACAACAATTAACAACATCCGAACAATAGCAGAGGAAGTCAAGGCACAAGCCGAGTACATAGAAGAAAACAAGCAAGTGAAGAAGGCGGACAAGCAGAAATACATGAAAGAACTAGCGACGACGGCGGAAAAAACTTCAAGAGAAGGAAATATGAAACAGCTTTATGATACAACGAAAAAACTAGCAGGGTGACATAGTAAACCAGAGAGACCACCCAATGACAATAAAGGTAAGACAACCAATGAGATTCAGATGCAGAATAACACATGAGGGGAACACTTCGAGGAACTCTAGAATAGGCTAACTCCATTGAATCCAGCGGACATGGAAGCAGCACCCATAAACCCTCCATTAGAAGTCACTCCAATAACGATTAAAGGAACTAGGATGGTCACCAGACAAATGAAGTGAGGGAAAGCAACAGAACCCGACAACATATTAGCTGAAGAACAAGAGTCAGATATAGATACAAATGCAAACATGCTTTACGTTCCACTGAATAAAAATAATTCATCAAGAAATTGAAGATTTGAGTAAATGTGGAAAATACAGAGGATTCACACTACAGTCAGTACCAGGAAAAGATTTCTACAGGGTGTTGCTGGACTACATGAAGGACTCAGTGGCCGCCCATCTGAGGAGGAAATTAGAAAAAAACGATGGAAGTAGCGGTTGGGACATACATTACGTAAACCATCAAACCGCATCATGAGGCAATTTCTAACTTGAAATCCTGAAAGGAAACGGAAAAAAGGATGTTCAAAGAGCAAACTACATCAGGAATTGAAAGGAGATACCAAAAGGATGAATAATAATTGAGGATTGCCCAAGGCAGAGTTGGGTAAAGAATTCTAGTGAGCAACCTATGCCCCATCCAGTGGCAACAGGTGTAAGTATCCTTTATTGGCTACACGGATTTTCATTATACCCACTTTTCAACTTCATGTAATCCATTGATGTTATGTATATATATGCTTCAGCACAAACAAGCTATTATTTCAACCCAAAACTTACTTATCACATCAAGTTGCACATTTATTTCAAAAATAAATTTCTATCTTTTTGTCAAACATAGATGTTGTTAGAAAACACTAATGTCCTGGATGGGAGTTTACATAGTAAACCCACTAATACTTATTATTTGTCTACTTGCTGTAATTTAAACACTTGACCCACTATGTAAAACTATATGTGAGTATAATTGAAAGCATGATTTGTGTCAATCTATCTATCTGCCTAGATAGATAATTAATAATCTATCTATTTCCAGCTGCGGTCAATTCACGACTTCTTTATCAGATTGATTTTCTTTATAGAAAGCAGACATCAAAACCATCTTACTGTCTTTGGAATAACTAAGATATTTTAAGCATAAGTGAGGGATTCCAAGTACAGTTAAAAAATATGTGAGTTTTAGATTACATTATACGTTGTAAAATAACTGTTATAGCACTTCCTCCACACATTGGTCATTCCGCAGGTGGTAAACATTTATAATATGAAATAATAAGTCACTTTTATTCATGTAGTTACATTTAAATTTATATCTGCCTTGATATGGCAACATAAACTGAATATATCCCAATTAGAGGTAGCGTTTTATTTCTCATATTCTTATTCAGAGACATGAACAATCGTGTGTTGCTTCAGACAATTTTGACAAGATTAAAAGTTCAGTCAGTTTGAAGCAAATCAGACTAATCTTAATAACCGTTAAACACGATTTATACATTTAGAATATATTTAATACTCGCACTAAGACTGTTTACACTATCGAATTTCAGAGAAGTTTGTACGAGCAATAATCACGGCTTATCGTGAAACTTAGCGAATAAAATTATTTATCACAATTTTAAATAGTTGCTAGTAGCGGGATACGTAATGTACTTTCGTACTATTTAGGACTCCTTACATAAACATGCATTTATCACAAGGTTGTCTATATTAAGACTCGAACATTGTATATCACTTTAAGCTTCGACTCGCTATGCTCTAAGCTGCTCAATTCAGATAGCCATAGACTCCTTTAATGAGTATGGTAAAATCTAATCATGAATACCAGCAACGGAAAGATGCAGACTTCTGTGAATAACCACAAACATTATACTCGTCTCGATAATGCTACTAATATATTGACTTCCTAAATATAATAAAACAAGGGTGAGCGTTAATAAGGACGATCGAATGAAAAATAACTAGCAGTTCATTTTAAAATCATCCAATTCAGTAGTAGGTAAATTTGTAAGTGACATAAAATTCAGATATTAGGCTAAACCACGATCAATTAATTGAAGTAAGCGCAATTATATATAAAGTAAATCTGCATTCATTTATTTTAGGTATATTATTCGATTAAAAGTTAAAATTATATAATTTTACATAAAAGCAATAAACTATAATCCAGGTTACTTTTTTATGCGTCATCAGAATGGAATGAAAATCTATTAAATGTAACAAGGGTGCTGAGTTATGCTGATGAATGGCTACACCTTCATAAAAACGTGATTAGTAATGAGAAGATTTGGGGATAAACGGAAAATCACACAGCATTCTACGTCGTATCGCACGAAGTACGGATTAATTACAAACGAGACAACGGAATACAGTCATGCTCCAGATAAAAGTATGGTGAGGGTGAAGAAAGTAATCAATTGAATTAAAGAATGAGCTAATTAATAAACATAAGTGACAGGCTAAATCGTAGCTACTGTATTTTCTGGTTTTTCGTATGCAACGTTAGCTGTCTCCAGCAGTATTTCTAATGATACATAATTCAATGTGTATATGACTATCAGGTGCCTTTATCACACCGAATTTCATTGAGTCTAAATCTGATGTCCAAATACAAGACGACTGAGAGAGAATTCCTTTCTATATGATGTTACGCTGAGTAAAAAACGGATTCTAATCCGAAATAATTAGGATAGTACCACCATTGGTATGTTGATGAAGCATTCAAGACCTCACCGCTTTTTTGTTCAGATCTACATAATTCATGCTATGAACTCCAATACCATTATTTGTTCGGTCAACAGTAGAAATCTATGAGTCAACATAAATCATTATGAACATTCAGTGGAGTCACTCATCCAAACACAGAAATCCATTGATGCTTTCAAAAATGAACTGGGAATCGGACAGTTCATTGTAGGGATAGAGCAATGGCAAGTAAGAAGGAAGGAAGAGTTAAAAATAAACTGGACGCAGACAATTATGAAAACAGATCGTTACTACAAAATTTATGTAGAACAATACACAATCTGAATACGCACATTTATACATCTGAATATGCTATACAAGTTTACAAATTTAAGTAACATTCACATCTACACTTTGCTAATAAATCGCACTTTTGTTGTTCATTCTTGATTTATTATGTTGAGTTATTCATTATATTAATGGTAATATTTTGTAGCACTACGAAGTCTTGTTACTTCCACCTCTTATTGAAGGATAAGAGTCACATATATGATTTGTTATCCTTCGTTTGATGATATTTGTTTGGTTGCATGGATGACTTATAAACGCGTTTTAACTGCGCAATGTGGTCAGAATTTACAGTGTTCTGGAATTGAGTTATTGATTGGCCTAGATACTTCTTTTGACATACTGACAAAGTAATACGTTTCCTAAGAGCTCACTTTATGAGGCCGATATAACCTGGAACATAACTAACTGGGTTTGTGTACACGTATTATAATTATTAGTATGAAATGATTCCTCCCACTAGTTAAAAACAATTAGGCTTAGTTAAAAGTTACATAGTATAGGTGATATTTATGTGAAGAAAGCTTTCTAATTGCATTTTCCTTCAAGCTACAGCTCTATTTAGGGAATATTAAAATGTCACACCATAAACTATGATTGGAACTTTGTAGTTCATTCTGATAATTACTTCTAACTTTAAATACCTATCAAATAAAGTTTCCATTAAAAAACGGGTGCATCTGTACATCAACATTATGGAGATAATAATATTGGGTGACTAATATGATGTACATCAATCAATTTCGTATATAAACGTATTACTATTAAAAGTATATATGTACAGTTTCAGATTCATTGAACAGGCGAACTATTATCCTGCTTTTGTCTTTGAGAAAGAATTTCACTTCTCCACTCCTTTAGTCTTGACCAACGAGCTTCTTGACGTGTTCGGGGTGCTAACCATGCGTCCTTTATTATTTTCGTATTATTCTGGAAGTATGTTATTTGTTCTTCTTTATCTAGGATTTCTCTTAGCTTTTCTTTGGTTTTTTTAAGAACTTCTTCAGATTTTTGCATTTTGACAGCTTCAGTGTATTCTTTTCTCCGTTCTTCATCAAATTTACTATACAAGTCAGAAAGTGTCTCTAATTCCTGCTTCATACAGTCTGAGTTATTAATTACTCCATTGAAGATAAACTCTTCGGCCAATTTAAAAAAGTTTGGTGTGGTACATTGTGATCCACCCTGAACACGCTGAAACATAACTATATATAGATGTTAGTTTGCTTACCACAAGTTCATTCTGCACTGATTTTACATCCGATACGCTTGGAAGCTGCGGTTCTCCTGGCTTTAGAGACGAGTCATCGGATCGGGTTTCACAAGTATCAACAATCCTTGTTAACTTTTCCGTCTACAAATTGTTATGTTGATACATTTAAATCGTGGAAAATGACTATACTTACCACAATAGGATCGAATCCTCCTAACTGTATTGCTGACTCATCAATTTTTCTCAGTTCAACTAATAATTTGTGGCACTGTTCAGAAAGAGCAAGTCCGAAAATTCTCATCATTAAACGAAAACTATCAACATATTTAGATAGACTATTCCATACTGGGGTAGTTTGAAAAAGTGAGCATCGACTGTTTAGTACATGAGACAAATGCAGGAGCGTATAACCAGTCTTCAACTTAGGGTGCTTTATATCGAAAAAGTTATCATAGCTTGGGTTTCTAACATAAGGAACCAATTTTTGTTCAATCTGAAAAACAGGAACAATTACATAAGAATGTCATCAGGGTTGAAAGAGACGAAATTTATGGAAATATAATTCAGAGGTAAATTTAACTGAACTGAGTTATCAGATTTCAGTATTCCTCCTGTGACGTGAGAAAATGCAGCTAACTTTCACCTGTTGATGTCAGCAAGTTGGTTGCAACTTCCGTTGCAAGTAAGTATCGAACCGAGCTAGCTTTTAGGCTAGCTACCATTCTACCGAAAAGCATAGGTGAGCATTGGTTGCGACTCTATGACGCCAACAAAACGGCGAGTAAAGCCGCTTGCGGCTTCGCGAAACGCCCGCTTATAAGCACTGGGTTTCTTTAGGCTCCTTACAACTAATCGAAGCCCGTCGGTCTACTCCGAGTGACCATGAGTTTGATCACAAACGAAGGATGTTACGTAATGAAATCGGGCAAAGTTTGAGTAAGGAGCGAGAAGCCTGGTGGTCGGAGCAGGCTAATGAGCTGGAAGCAGCAGTTGAATCTGTTAACCACCGGAAGCTCTTCCAAGTCACCCGAGCCACTGACAGCAAGAAGTCTGGTGTGAGCGAAACAATCTGCGAGGATGACGGGATGCCAATCACTAACATCCATCGACGTCTTGGACGATGGGCAGAATTATTCGAAGGGCAGTTAAACTGGCCTGATGCTCCGTCAACATAGGTCAGACCGTCCTGCTCTCCATGGCCGGTGACGACTGATCCACCACAGGAGGCGGAAGTCCGCAAGGAACTCCAACTCTCGAAACGCTACAAATCACCGGGCTCAGATGACTTACCTCCGGCTCTTTTTAAAGATGATGGTGACTTTCTGACGACGTTGTTTACAAAGAGCTGGGAGCTAGAGAGTGTACCAACGTCATGGAATGAGTCGATAGTTGTCCCTATCTTTAAAAAGGGTTCACGTCGTTCCTGCAACAACTATCGTGGGATAAGTCTACTTCCGATTGCGTCCAAGCTATTGACTTCCGTCATACTTCGTAGGTTGTTCAAAACCCGAGAAAGATTGACTCGCGAGGAGCAGGCTGGTTTTCGTACCGGTCGAGGATGTATTGATCATATCTTCACCCTCCGCCAAATGTTAGAACACCGTCATAATTATAAAAAGAAAAAAATCGTAGTGTTTCTTGACATTAGGGCTACCTTCGATTCGTTGGATAGGACTGTTCTCTGGGATTGCCTATTGAAAAAGGGTGTGCCTGAGAAGTTTATTAACATCTTAAAGGCCCTATATGCAAACACCTCAGGCAGAGTGAGGGCAAACAACCACTTTTCTCCATTGTTCGATTCGAGCAGTGGGGTTAGGCATGGTTGCCCAATCTCACCATTCCTCCTCAACTCTGCCATCGATGACATTCTGGAAACAGCTCTGATGGGTTTAAGTAATCGCGATGTGGATCCGTTGCCTGGAGAAAGACTTCTCGACCTTCAGTATGCGGACGATATTGTCTTACTGTGCGATAATGCCCAAGGCATGCAATCCACACTTAATCAGTTGACAATCAGTGTCCGTAGGTATGGTATGTGCTTAGCCAGAGCGGCCTATGCCAATCTGGGCAATCTTTGGCGCCTTCGTGATGTTAGTCTGGCTGTAAAAGGTCGGATCTACAACGTGTCGGTGAGAGCAATTTTGCTCTATGCTTGTGAAACCCGGCCTCTCCGAGTTGAGGAGGCTAGACGACTCTCTGTGTTCGATCATCGTTGTCTCCGAAGGATTGCTGACATTTAGTGGCAACACCATTTGAGTAATGCAGAGGTTCGACATCATGTGTTCGAGCACAAAGATTATAATTCAATTGGTGTCACCATCTTCAAACACCGGCTTCGGTGAATTAGACATGTTCTACGAATGTCGTCCCAGAGAATTTCACGTCGTGCATTATTTCCCGACGCTGGGACTGGTTGGAGAAAGCGGAGAGGTGGTCAGTGTATGTCATGGTGTCGTGGTATGAAAAAAAGCTGCAAAGGGCTGGCTTGTGTTGGTCCTTTACGACTCCCTGGCTGGGGTCCTAGAGATGGTGAAACACAGTGGCTAGAGACGTTATCAGATATGACTCAGAATAGAAGCCAGTGGTGGTCCTACTGTAATCTTCTTATACTTTCTTCATAAAAAATGATTTTTTCTTCCTTAACTGAAATATTTCTTCCAACTGTACCTTCCCGTTTCCTCCACTATTACTATTATTATTATTACACTACCTTACACTAATCTGTTCGTTATTATTCTTTTTTTCTCTTCGAGTTCTCACTGTTTTGTGCAGCGCATATATATTTGGTGCCCTCTTGTACCAATATTTATGTCTTCAAATAAATAAATAAAACTTCCACCTCTGGTCTTTCTGAAACCTGAGATGAATTTGTATGAACTAGTAAGAGTGGGAGTATCGAATAAAAACAAAAGGCTTCAACTAAGCGGTTGTTGACTAAACAATATTGATAATGTAACGCACTTATAAATTATGGTGTCATGTATTTGGTTTTAAACCAAATTTTCACGTGAGGATTAGTAATATTATCGGATTACTTTATTTGCAGTTAGCCAAATTATAGTGGCTATTACGGTTATATTACAGTAACTATCTATTGAGTTTCACTTTACATATACGTACATGATTTTTGAAAAAAAAACAGGATCTTACTATCTACCCGATAAGCACGCACAGATGTAGATAAAATTTAATCAAAACCAATTACAGCCACTGAATAGTACCACCAGTCACCGACAAATAGATAAAATAAGTTAGAAAATTAAGTGTTTGTCAGGTGATGGTGCCTTCTAACTGTCGCCAGCAGTATTTGTGAAAAGAAACAAGTTGAAACTCCTATCCACGTTTAAAGTTTATAGCCATTTACTAATTTGAACATACCAGCATTAGTACAAAAAGGCACCAAATATATATGAGCCACACTTCGTTATTTGATTTATGTGAAGGCTAGAATACTGCCTGGAACGCCCAAACCAAAGCAGGTGAAATCATCACTACTAATGAACTTACAATAGACCATGTCCGTAACAAGTTTATTCGCCTTGAGAATTGATCTAGTTAGAGTAACTATGCACTAAAACGATTACTTATAGTCTCTGTACTTACAACTAGTCTTTGAAAAAGCTTTATCGTTTATGAGGGACATATTTTCATACAATATTTAGGCTAGCAAGTGATTACATAGATAGCATTTGGTTTGTTATTTCTAATGACCAATGAATGCCAGAAAAGCCGATGTCAGTCGGTGATTAGAAAAGTAGTACAACCAATACACTTATATTCGCACTATTCCACTTAATAATTTCAACACTAATAAACACTAGAAATTCGTGTCTCTAAGTGAATTAATCAAACAAACATCATTACTCATCAACTCCTCCTTATCTAATTTAAAAAAGAGCTATTCCTAATAAAGCTTTCTCAAACGGAGTTTTTATTTACAAATGATACTTTACCTCTTTGTCATCCGCCGGTTCAGGTTCTTTGACCACGTAAGAATCATTTTCTATTGACTTCATGCATGAATAAAGTGAAGTAGCAAGGACAAGGGGTCTAACATTCTCTAAGCTGAAATATTCCTGAAGACAGAGTTCCCAAGAAACTGCAACAGCAGAATTCCATTCACCTTTTCGTAAAAACACGTCCATCATAAGAACTGCAGAGGCAAAATCTACAAAGATTCCTGTTTTTGACTAAACATTAAGCATTTCAAAATGTTCATACTCTACATTGGATTAATTTTAGTAATCTGTCAACTTCTCGGAAATTCAAATAGCCTCGAATAAACGCATGAGATGTTGAATCCCTTACATCGACCGCAGACTGAGTATTCATATAGCTTTATATAAGTAAGGAAACGGGCTTCAAACCTCATGATGACTTCTTCAACAAAATCTAAGGACTGTACATTTAGTTCATCTAGTTTATTTGCGAACTATTATTACAACAATTAATAAACAATAAAGCTTTACTATGTCATAGTCCAGTGGTGACACGACTTTTCCAGAATTAATTTTTTGCAGTAATTTTAAACCATGATCACCTATGGGTTTTAGGAATTTTGCTGTGGGACTTACGAGCTGAAATATTTTGGAAAATATCACTAGAGAGCCGAGCGTTCCAAATATCAACAGAAGCATACGAATCAGGTATAAAATATCGATACCATAACTTTAGGCCGTATTGAGGTGGTTTTCTAAAAAAAGTACAAGTGTAATAAGGCCATATCAATCGGCTCATTGAGCAGAGTGGCCTTGGAGTTACAACGAATCTTTTGTACTACACGCTAGGACATCGAGATTATATGTACAATTGCTATCACTGCTAAATACGTACTAAAGGATGGATTCTCTACGTTAATTGCTGAGATTAAGGTCTCTCGGTTGATTAAAATTTCACTTGAGATCGCCAAAAGATATGGCTTCGACCACATAGTAAAACACAGAGTTCTAGTGACTGACGGTGCAATGATGAGTGTTTTGTTTTCGAGATTTAGGGCTTTTTGAAGTGAACTAGTACATTTTATGTCTTGAGAGACATGCAAAATTATGGCACTTCATGTGCGAAAATACCAATAAACAATTTAGAGACCTGCCAGGTCACTTCTAGTCTAAAGAATCCACACGTATTCTGAGTTTGATAAAACTGAGAACACCGAAACATGCCAACTTAGTGAAATCAGAAGTCAGAAACGAGGGGGCTGGAAGATACATTTGATGGAGTATCAGTATATCGAGAAGCGACTAATATAAGATGACTAGTGGTTGTAGGAGTAGTGAAGCACAGCGTACCCACTGGTAGTCTAATGCGGATGCACGACTGAGAACCTGTAGCTAGATGAGTTCAAAAAAACTAATAATGTCGAACATTTACAAAGCTTTTGATTTCGGGGATTTAGTTACCGCCACAAGTTCTTCTGTATGGCCGGGAGGTAGGTTTAGATTAACTAGTCCTTGATCTTTCGATAGATCTGCGATTCCTAAAATCAAATTATTTATGATTGTTTGAATCTCTTCCGACATTTCACTGGCTTTTTTATGTAGGGTCTGTATGTTCAAATGTGATGCTCATTTATAGATTCAACGAATACGGTAAACGAAGTCCTAATGTCCTGAATATCTACTTATTCATAGGCCCTATTAGTTGACTGGAGATTTTTATAAGTTTAGAAAGCCATTGTGCAGCTGTGTGCAGATATTTCGAGGCATGACTGACAACGAATCTTAGGTCAACGGCCTATGTACTTCACTGAGCACGATCTTGCGATTAGACGACTTGAAGTTGACCAAAATTCTTTGATAATTATTCATCCATATAATTACATCACCTGCCAATCCCTATGTCTCTTAACTTGTATAACTGTGTTGTATGAGACTTCGTGAAAAACCTTACTAAAGTTAATCAAGCCTGCATCTGTAGATAGCTTCTGATGTTTCAAAGTGCAATGAATTTCTCATGTAACTAGTAAGTTCGTGATACATGATTACGCCGTGCTAAACACATTCTACATTTCAGAGGGAAACAAGTTCTCATCTTGATACTTAAACAACTCCTGGCAAATAATATTATCTATGGTTTTGACAAATACAGTAGTTAAGTTCATAGGAAGGTAGTTCTTATATTCGCGCTCAATTCGTTCAGTGAGCAGAACCTACTATGTTGTTCTTCAAGTCACCTGGTAGACTGTCTCATGTCACAAACATGGAGCATATCCAACGGCGAGCCACGAAATCAGTTCGGGGACTTAAATTCAAACCTTATGAAGAGCGCTTTCATTCAGTTAACCCTTACACATTAGAGTATAGGAGTCTTAGGGGTGACCTTCTGATGGCTTACAGTATCATTACCACATCTATACATCCCCTTAAACACCTTGTTAAGCTAAGTCCCGATACAAACCTAAGAGGTAACACCAAGAAATTGGAGACACAACATAGCAGAACGGGCTGTATACACAAATTCTACTCCTGAAGAGTTGTCAAGTGCTGGAATTCGCTGCCGACTGAACTAGTCCAAACGACCTCCCAGGATTCCTCTAAGAGGAAACTTGACCTATTCTTAAGGACTACGGATAGCATCTTAATATGAGTTACCAATTTCGTTTTTTCTAATCTATTATAGTTTATATACCTAGGTTCCTGCCTGGAAGTATTGGTGATCCCCCTGCTAATAGACACAGAAGCCCATTGGGCGAAAGCTTTTTCTATTCTGTCCACAACCGTTTGAACCATTTATATGTAAAAAAGTTTGCGTCAGAGAATTCTGATGACGTTTGTTTTCTCCTTTAATCATTTCGGACGTATTTCACACGGTCTTTTAGTTTTCCTTTACCAAATAAAGTTATTAGATAGCGAAAACCTAGCTCATAAGTGGTCGCAATACCCAAAAGGTTGTAGAATTATGGTCTATTATGATATAAATATTGCTGTAATAATAGACCTGATACTAAAATTGTAGATTTGTCATGATATAACTGCCTAATCTATAAGATCTTACGTGGAAGTCACATGATTGTCTACACCAACCCATGGCACAGTAACAATCACCAATACATGATGTAGGACAAGCGTAGGCTGGGGAAAGAACAATATATTTCATATGAATAAATGATATAAGGTGATATTCTGCAGGGACCACGCCTGCATGGCCGAGCCATGCCATTCGATCAACTCCGATTCATTCAACACTTTCTTCCCGCCTTCTCCATCGTTAGGTATTTCTCCGCGTTAAATATTGAGTATCTATTTTTCGAGTTGTCTCGTGCTCAGCTTTGAGGATTGTGTGGTTGCGGTTAAACGCCACTACACTACTCTCCCACCAGGATCAACGTGATGTTGGTTCGATACCGAATTGAACTGGATTATCGCGCTCCGGAGGTTACCAAGAATAGTAAGAATCCTCCGGGTATTGATAAGCTGAAGGATAAATTAAGAAGAAGTCGGCTGCACCTGGTCTGGAAATACATGTAATAATTTTAAAATATCTGTCTTCATGCTCAACACGCTTAAAATGAAAATTTTGGTGAACATTATTTGAGTTATAAAGATGGGATTACAATAATAATAATAATAAAAAAAGATGCGTGTTAATAGCCGTTGGTTAATAACTTAACGTATAGGTAGTAAGTATTTTGTGTTTACAAATATTAAAGTAATGAATATTGTAGAAATGTTAATATTGGTATTAGTTTTAGTTTACATTATGAAATCGAATAACGATTATGCCGTTAAGTCGTCCATATGAGTTGACTTCTAATTGCATCTGTATTAGTAGGCTAACTGAAGGAACTAAAGTATTGCCGTGGAGAAGAATTCCAACTAGTGTTCCAGTTAGTTTAGTACGGTTTATTTAGTTACGGAGAGATTTTCTCAACCTCATTTTTACTTGACCGTGATAGAATTTAGTAATACTACTAATGCACATGAATGGTTATGAAAAACAACCAAATACGTGAAAAGTGATAATTGTGTAAATTTTGGACAGATAGCTAAGAACAAATCGTTAAACATGAGTGTATTCGTAAGAGACATGCTCTAGACTCAATGTTCTGCGTTGCGATAAACTATTTATTTTTATTTATACCTGCCGGCTGATAGTGCATACAAGTTAGTTGCAAGTATGCAGTTTATCATAAGGCGGAGTACGATTTAATTGAGATATAGTGATTAAAAGTTATTGAAATCAGTTAAGATGTATTCGGCTAAATAAGTTTTTACAAGATGATTAGCAGTGAGTGATGCTCATGTGATTATCAGGGAGAACATAAGTTGTAACCAAGAGGAGTACACTCCCAACTCATGTCTATGATAATGGCTTGAACCTTAGCCAGTGTTCGGGTAAATTCGACTTTGATGTTTTCAGTTTGCAGGAGATTTGCTCGACTGCTTATACTGATTATTTGCATGCATGATTGTGTCGCTAAACCTCCAACTAGACTGACAAGGTTTTGAGATATTTACTGAATGAGCGACTCATAGAGAAACATACTGTAATCATCTGTAGTGAATGAAGATAAAAAAAACAACACTAGTGATAATTATAAGTCAATTGGCTGACCGATTCTGTCTATAGTTTCATCAATTTTATCAATCATATTACGTGATTGTCAAGTCATGACAATGCTTTATGACGATATCCTGAAACTATTATGTTTAACTAGTTATAGAGTTGATTGGGGATTAGTCAGTGGAAAAATAGGTGTTGTTGCTTTAGGTGATTCGAAATTATCAGAAATTTATAACGTTACAGAATCCGAGACGCCTAATTATATTATAAATTTCAGAAATATTTGTTTAGTGATAATTCTAGTTGGCTACGAAGCTTAGATTTTAAAACGTTGTTTAGTTAACAGCTGCCTGAGGATTTAGTTATCTTACTAGTGCAGTTGATAGTACCTAAATTTGTAATCTTATTATCTAAACTATGTTCGCATTTTAGGCTGCTAATATGATAAACCAATCCATAAACCCAAATACGATTAGCAACAACGACTATGATGGGTTTATTGATAAATGTTCAAGGCGATTCAGATGATTTCAAAATTTAGAAGACATGAAGATATAGTGCAACTTATGTACGGGTCAGGTTAACATACAGGCTGTTGATGTATATGACAATTTAAAAATAATGAGCATGACCAGATAAATAATTTTAAAGTTAAGACTGCTTGTGATACTTCGGGCAGGAATATGACACGTTATAAACATTCCATAAGAAATTACTGCATTTAGCCTAGAGACACAAATATATGGCAAAATCAACTGGAAAGCATATACATGTTAAGTACAAAAAATCATCCAGTAAAATAGTTGAACTCGCCTGGGTTATTTATGAAAGTTAGATATTTCAGTGGACAACATATATAACGCCATTCGTGAAGAGGAGTAATGCTCCAAGTGTATCCAGAATAAAACATGCAGTATGGCAATTCCTTACAAGGTGCTTGATGCAGTTGACATTTTTGCCACTCACTCGGAACAGAACAGTTGAATGAATCCAGATAATTGTGTGGTTGTCATTGAACGAGCCATCTAAAATGACTTTATGATTGAAGAAAACACAAATAAAAATCGATTGAGAAGGTTAAGGTGAAAATACGGGTTAACAATAATGGGTTGCGTTTCTTTAGTCCGGCTCACCTGCATGGCCGAGCCATGCCATTCAATCAACTCTGATTCATTCAGCACTTTCTTCCCGCCTTCTATATCGTTAGGTATTTCTCCGCGTTAAATATTGAATATCTATTTTCCGAGTTGTCTCGTGTTCAGCTTTGAGGATTGTGTGGTTATAGTCCAATGACA